TGCCGATGTTCTAGTGTGGGGTTGAATTTTTGGGAGTGGTTCGATAGCTGCTGGTTTCGGCTGATGTGTGCACGGTGAGGCTTGATGCTCGGTTGGGGTATCTGGATTTTGTGAAACTCTGGTTTTTATGATAGACGTCTGTATATTGTAATGCTTAATGGTATGGTTGTGAACATATGAGAAATTATTGTGTGTTTCCTGGATGGTTTACATACCCTTGGTCTATCTCCGAGGCGCTGCGATGCGCTGCGGTGCGCTGCCCTGGATTGAACTTGCTCCAAGGGTTGAGAATTCACGAAGTTCACGCCATTGTCATTCATCAATCTTCAACCTGATACGATAGAGCTTCTTCTGTCTGTCCATGCAATGTAGAAAGCAAAAGCAAAAACATACAACAGAAGGGATTCGCTGGTGGTCACCCACCCAACTACTAACCTCCCGGCGTGTGGCTTAAGTACGGCTGAGCGGACGGGAAGCCCTGTTTTCCACACCCTATGGTCGTATGTGCTCAAAAGAGGCTTGAAACAGTTTATACGGGGCACAGGGCATTTGATTACGAACCTAGAAGAAACCGTAGCTTTGTCCCACGGCGGCGAATTGAGGAGCATGAGAGTGGTGGATTCCGGCCCGCGGGAAGGGCCTATTTACACCCACGGTGTTGAACCCTATAAACTGCTGTCCTGGGCTTTGCTGCAGCAGTGGTTTGCATATTCATTTATCACTATAAACTCCGAGAAAACGGCAATCACCTGGTCGAGAGATTGTGTTTCAGGTCCATGCTGGGATGCATGGACTGACAGGAAGACGGCGAGTGATGGAGCATGAGCAGGGCCTAGAAGCTGCCGTGCGTACCATCTTGCTGCTTATGAATGTTTGCTCATGCTCATCTGGAAATTACAAAGGCTGCATTGGGAATCGAACGATCTATCTCGCTTGTATTCACCTACTGCAGAGAGGTATATTGTGGTTGCCTAAGCACATACATGCTTGGCACGGCCTGGCCATGAGCATGGCAAGTCGTGCTTATAGGGCTGATTGGCTCTTTATGATCGATCCTCAATTCCCCGAAAACTGTATCTAGGTTGGCAAACAAAATCTCCCAGGCGCGTTGGAAATCAAACCGAAGACTGCACGAGACTATGTATAAGGCAAGGAACGCCCACCTCTCGCTCTCTCTCTCTTTCTCTCTCTCCCTCCCCCCTCCTCTATTCACCTTTACTTCCATTCTTCCGGACGGGAATAACTTCAATGCAGGTTTGCAATGGTCGCCTCCACGAAAGCAGCGTCAAGTTGTTTTCCGCATTCACATAACCGGCGAATTGGCTGGGTGGATGCAGCAACGTGCTGGCTGGCCCGTCTTGACGCGGAGTTGCCGCTGCCAATTTCAATTCGAGCTGAGGCGGGCTGCCGACAGAGGGTGAGCAATGTTCTTCCAGCTGAACAAGGGAGGGATGGGATGTTAATCATCTTCTGTACCTGCACTGGGGCGCGTATATATCTGGGATCGGGATATGGGGAGAGGGAAAGGGCAAGCAGAGCAAGACTTTTCGTCGGGTTCGTGATCAACAAAAGAAACCCCCATTGTGCATCGTTTTCATCTTCTTCTCTTGTTCTCATTCACTCATTCTGTTCTCCTGCTACCTGCGCTCTTCCCGATGTTGCCTCCAACCCAAAGATTGGCGCAGGAAGGCGCCATTCCGGCCGTTTGGATGCGATCTGGGACGTCCAAGGGATTATTTCTGCATCGTGAGCATCTCCCCGCAGATGAGGCGAAGTGGGAACCCATTCTCCTCGCTCTCATGGGCTCGAAGGGGGCTCACTCTGGGGAGAGTGCACCACAGACCGACGGCCTTGGCGGGGGCACGTCCACGACGTCCAAAGTGGCCATCGTGGGGCGGGCCTCTCGGCCCGGCGTCGACTTGGAGTACAGCTTCGTCCAGGTGGATTTCAAGGCTGGTCGAGTGGACCGCTCAGGGACGTGTGGGAACATGATGGCTGGCGTGGGACCGTTTGCGTGGGATCAGAATCTGCTCGCTCCTTCATCGGGGTGGTCATCTTCCTTATCATCAGTAGCAGTGGATAAGGAAGATGATAAGATCGACCCAATGGTATGTTGTGAGTCCTTACAAACAGCGCTTGACTTCTCACCCATCTTGTTTCCCAGATCAATATCCAGGTCCTTGATACCAATACCGGCCAAGTCTTTCGTCTCACCATGCCCAATCCACACTACCACCACCAGCACCCGAACTCACCTTCCATCTCTCTCTCAACCTGGGACGCGATCAAGGTGACCATGGTGCAGCCAGGTGGTCAAATAACGGGGGCACTGTTTCCCAAGAAGGAGAGCAGCAGTAGCAGTAGCGAAGAACGCACCACCTTGCTGGAGATTCCCTGTGGCTGGACGGGCCAGCTCCTTCGCGTCCGGGCCACGTTGATCGACTGTGGTAATCCGTTTGTGCTGGTGTCAGCGGCCGACATGCCCGCGCAATACCACCAGGAACAGCAGGATTCGCTGTTCAGCGACGCGGCTAGCCTCACGGTGGAAACGCTGCGTCGGGCTGGCTCCCTTCGTCTTGGGCTGGCGACCAGCTGGGACGCGGCGGCCCGCCAGAGGACAGTTCCTAAGATCGCAGTGGTGGCACCAGCTACAGCTGCAAGTGCCTCCGTAGATGCGACGGTGACGGCTTATAGTCTGGGCGACTTGCATCCGACGATTCAACTCACGGGTGCAGTCGCATTGGCGGCCGCGCTGAGTGTGCCGGGGACTGTGCTTGCCGCTGATACAACAGCCAAGGGGGGCAATGGAAACCGTACCTCCTTCTACACGTCTTCCACCTCCCGAACCTGGCGCATTGCCCACCCTCGAGGCACGGTGAAGGTCGAGACTGTTTCATCGCGGAAGGCGGACGGATCCTACTGCATTGAGAGTGCAGCGGTGATGCGGACGGCGCGGAAACTATTCGAGGGACAGGCCTTCTACTCTTTGAGATAGTGAAGCACATGATGACTAGATTACTATGAAAGAGACTGAAGAGTGATTCTCAATCCTGCAAGGATGTCGTAATCTTGAACTGCTTAAAAGACGTGTAATCAAGGATTATGGTAGCCGAGAAACCGTATATGTGGACCATTCACATGAGCTCTGGTGTTTCTAATCAGTTCCATGTACAGTACGCCTGCGTAACTAGTCTTTGAGTTACGGCTCTTGGTATATATACCGGCCTCGAATGCTTTTGTCTAACTAGAGACATCATCTCTACTACCGAACCAGCTATGGATATCATCTGGCGGGACACTTGTTCCGCCGCGCTGTACGAGGAGGCCTGTTTGGCACGGGTCTTCAACTCTCGCCGCCCTGACCAGCATCCAGCGGCTATTGTGCGTGCTAGAACAGAGTCCGACATCATTGAAGCAGTTCAGCTAGTGCGCAATTCGAACCTGCAGGTCGCTGTCCGCTCTGGCGGCCACTCATTCCCGGCTTGGAGCCTTCGCGAGAATTCTCTCCTGATCGACCTTGGCGACTACCGTGAAGTCGAGGTTGATGCAGAAAGAAAAGAAGCCTGGATATCTTCTGGGATGAAAAGTGACATAGACTTGCAGTTGATGAAGGACCATGGACTGATGCTGGGTGCGGGTCATCACCCCGGTGTTGGAATCGGGGGTTACTTGCTCCAGGGAGGGCTATCCTGGAATTGCAGGGTAGGTCTTTCAATCTCCTCTACCAATTGTTTGATGAGGGCTTATGCCTGACGAGGCCTAGAACTGGGGTTGGGCTTGTGAGAGGGTCAGGGCTGTTGATGTGGTCACGGCAGATGGGAGTCTGGTCCGTTGCTCTGCGGAAGAGAACAGGGACTTGTTCTGGGCTGCGCGGGGAGCTGGGCCTTGTAAGTGTTTCTGATTGCAGAGTTTCCAACTAGCTCAGACCTGATAAGGATGCACCAGATTTCCCCGGCATTGCCACCCGGTTTCTTGTGCAGCTTCTCCCTGCACCCATGGTCTTCCGTTCGTCCGGGTACATATATCCCAAAAATAGGTATACAGAGGCCTTTAATTGGATCCTTGCTCTCACACCTGCTTTTGACAAAGACACGGAAATCATGGCCGTCTGCCGGTATCCTGACGGTATCGACGAGACCTGCTTTACAGTGTACTTTATCACAATGAAGGACAGTGTGGACGCGGCTTGGAGCGCCTTGCTGCCCGCACAACAAACCCGTCCGGAGGGCACAATTCAAGAGTGGTTCTGTCGAGAGGATAGCCTCGAGCAGGAATACGCGAACGAAGTTAGCGCTTACCCGGGAGATCGTCGCTGGGTGGTGGATAATGCCTTCATCGAGAACGAGGCAGATTTGGCTGCTGTGCTGGAGCAGATCTGTCTGTCACTGCCAGACAGGCGGTTTGTTGTGCTTTGGTATCCGCTGGCCCCGCAGAGTCGTCGTCGATTGTCAGACATGGCTTTCAGTCTGCAATCGGATCACTACGTTGGTACATACGCCATTTACGAGAGCGAAAGCGATGATGAGAGGTGCCGTTCATGGATCCAAGACACAGCAGAAAAGCTGGAGCCATTTCGTGTCGGCTCTTTCTCCGGCGAAGCCGACTTTCAAGCTCGGGTTGTTAAATGCTGGGCCGACAAGGACTTCGAAAGATTGAATCAAGTACGACAAAGATGGGACCCTGAGGGACGCTTCTGTGGACCATTGGCCGGCGTGGATGCGTAAGGATAGGTTGGTAGTACTATTAGTAGTCCTCTGTACGTCATGGTTCAGCAATAGCCAGAGTCATACAAATTGGCCCAAAAAGCATACTTCTATACGAGCGGAGAGGAATTGGGCCAAAGCTTAATCATAACTTGCAGGGTAAGATATAAAGACATCCTTCTACCGAAGGGTTTGTTTAGACTCAACAGCACAAAGATTCCTAAATATCAATGCTCCTGTCTTGACTTGACGTGACTTTCAAAAATTGAAATACATTTGCCTACGATCATCGCCAAAATGAAGCTCTGCAGCACAGGCTTGATGTTTATCTCGATCTTGTTCACAGCGAGCCATGCTGCACCTGTGGATCGGTATGTACACTACCCCTTCCAACCCCCTGCCTTTGTGCATGCGGGTAATTTTGCCGACCTGGTGAATAGGGCTGCCCGCTCTGTGGATGTGACGTCTAAATACGATCGTGCTGTGGATGTCTCATCGAATTATGACCGTGCTGTGGATGTCACATCGAACTATGACCGAGCTGTGGATATGACTGCCAACTATGATCGTGCCGTGGATATGACTGCGAACTACGACCGGGCTTTGATAAGTTCTAAGTATGACTAAAACAAGCTGCAGACGCGGTGGGATGGCTGCGAGCCCATGGGATGCAAAGCAGGGATACTGGTGAAGGGAATGGGCTTTCCATGATTACTAGTTATAAGACTATTTAAGGATTATTTCATCCCAAGGAGTCGACAGTCTGTTAGTGTTCTTATGTATGATGGTGTTTGACAAATGAGGTATTCTTCGGTCGTGTACTGCAAAGAACAGGCGATGATAATGTGGTAGGCAACCAAGCCTCTAACGACAGATTATTCATTCAACAGGTACGGATATATTGCATGTGAATAATCTTACAGTCGTAAACTCTTTGGTTAGCAAATGACCTATCTAGCTCTGTATCACTTTGGCAGGGATTAATTTGATATGATCCTCATAGAGGTGATTGGCTGTTGGCAGTAATGCTGGATTGTAAGCACATAGATCGCTACACAGAAAAGGTCAGTTTATATTACAATAAACCTTACTCAGGCCCTTGGAAGTATCCTTGTTTTGACCGCCTGACGCAATGGACTTTCAAAGATTGTATCAATCTCATCCACCCTTCACTTGAGCATCAGTCTAACTCAACATCGGATAAAGCCTCGCCTTTACACAGCGCAGCTGCAGATTCTCTTAAACATGCTTCTCTCCTTGTTTGTATTGTTGATTCTCTTAGGCTCACACTTGCTCCGGGTGCAACGAAAGCAAAGTGACCAGAGACCATTCAGTGAAACATTCAACCACAAGATAGAGCAGCTCCTAGAGCACTTTAGTATCCCGGGACTCGCCATTTCTGTTGTGCAAGATGACGAGATCTTGGCGAGGGTGTGTACTTGCCAACACCATAGACGCTTAACGTTGACTGATCATCCATAGGGCTACGGAATGTCTGACATCGAGACCTCGCAAGCAGTGTCCGAACACACGCTATTCTTAGCTGGAAGCACAACCAAAGCCTTCACCGCTGCTGCAGTTTCGCTTCTGGTAGACGATAACCACCATTACCCCAACATCCAGTGGACCACTCCCGTTCATTCCATCATCCCGGAAGACTTCGTCATGATCGACCCCTGGTATACGGCCCATGTCACCGTGACAGATATGCTCTCTCATCGCTCAGGTCTACCACGCCATGACTGGCTGCTGCTGACCAATCTGACTCAGCAACAGATTGTCCAGAGGATCCGATACCTGCCACTGACAGCTGAAATCCGCACCAAGTTCCAATACAGCAATCTCATGTATATCACCGCCGCTCACATGATCGAGTCCGTGTCCGGTCACTCGTTGCCGTCGGTCTTGACTGAAAGGATCTGGGCCCCGCTGAACATGTCGGAAACCTATCTTTCGTTGACCGATGCCCAGCGCGCAGGAAGGAACATTTCGCAGGGTTATTACCTTGATATTAACGGCAAGCTGGTGTCAACCCAGCATGTTAGTATGAGAAGTTCGCGTGGCGCAGGGAATATCCTCTCTTCCGTTGCGGATTACGCCAAATGGATTTCGACTCTCCTACGCAGGGGGCCCCCGTTGTCTGAAGCGGCCTACCGCACTCTCTTCGGTGCTCACAGCATCGCTGCCAGGGAACCAGTCCCGCCATTTGTATCACCGACACTATACGGGATGGGCTGGGTGGCACAGACGTACCGCGGTGAAACCGTGATCCAGCACGCTGGATCCCAGTACGGGTTCGGGTCTCTGGTGGTCCTTCTACCGAAGCGCAAACTGGGAGTCGTGATCATGGGCAACAACATGCGTGGGACCAATGCAGCTGCTGATATCATTGCTTTTGATATCATAGATGATGTCCTCGATTCTCCCAGAGATGAACGCTTCGATTGGCGAAGAAGGTCTGTGACTGACCACCCATATGATTGTGTAACGTGGCATGATTAACTGTCTTTTCTCCATGCTCTTGATTGATTAGAGCCGATGAACGGTTAGCAGCCGACACGCTCACCAACGACACTTTTCGTCAGTTATATCCAGTTCTCCCGGATCCGCCCCAACCCTACCCGCTCAATATTTCTGCGTATGAGGGGGTATACGTACATGCGGCGTACCCCAACCTGACCATATCGAGTGATTGTAGTGAAACGGCAGGTGGAAATTTTTACGAGAATGGGACAGGTGCAAAGCTCTGTGCATTTCTGGTTGAACCAGGGGATTATTTCCCCAAGCCGCTGTCGCTGGAGATGTACCATGTTAGTGGTAACTCTTGGGTTCTGGTTATTACTATAGCTGGGGCCATGTCTGCAGCCCGGGTGGAATTCAGGTTCGATGCTGACGGACATAGAGTGAGCCACATGGGTGCTGAGGTTGAATCGGCCATGGCGCGAATTGGGGAGAAGATTTGGTGGGCGCATATTTGATGTCACTGGCAGGACTGGAAAGAGCTGATTGACTATGACTATGACAACGTGTCACGGTAGCATTCTCCTAGCATTAGTTGATTGCCTGTCAGTCTTCAACAAAGTCCATGTAAATTTAGATGCTATGACCTTCATCTTAGCCAGACCTCTCTATTACTACTATTCTTCGGCTACACTCGAGCACCAATCGTAGACATCAGCGTTCATTAGTACGAACATAAATCGTATCCACTGTAAACCTCATCATCCCTTGAACTACAGTCATGAACCTTCCATCCTGCTCATCTTTTGCAGGACACGTACCTTGAATCTAACAATCTGTTGATTGATACTATTTACAATGGAACGGCCAGATTTTGAAACTCTTCACTCACTTCTTGAGGAGATTAAAGCCTCCCTTGCAACTTATGAAGCTACACGTTCGAATCTAGCACGAAATCAGGCTCTCGAGCAAGCGGTAAAACTGACAATAGCTCTTGAAAGCCCCAAAGATGCGGTCTTCAAGCTCTTTCTGTCGGTGAGTACTACACCTGCAACTTACCATAGCCCAAAGCTGAGAAAGAACTCCCAGCCCACCCAAGCGATGGCCGTCAAAGTCGCGCATGACCTCGGTATCTTCTCGATTCTGACAGGCTCCGAGACGGCCATCTCTTGCCAGGATTTGGCAGATCGGAGTGGTGCGCACCCGCTGCTGGTCGGTCCGTCATCCCTACCATGTCCATCTTCTGTCACCTACACGCGTGGCTCGTGACCCCATCCCTCGTTCCAGTCAGGTCTGATGAGCGTGTTCACAGAACGTATCATGCGAGTTATCGTGGCAATGGGCTTTGCGAACGAGCAGGGACCCGGACAGTACCGTGCGACCCTACTCTCGAAGGAGATGACGGGCAAGAAATCTGGGATCGTGGACACGCTGTACGCCATGGCGTCCTCCACCATCGTGTCTGCACTAACCCTGTCCCACCCAGCTTCCTTGTTCTGGCCCCAGCCATCCTCCAAACCCCGGCCTTCCTCCGCGACACGCACTACCAGAACCCGGAGGACCATTCCGCTGGCCCGATCCAGTACACGTACCACACGCCGATGAACAGCTTCGAATGGCTCGCCACTGACAAGACCGCGCATGCACGGTTCCACGCCTATGTGGAGGGTGTGCGCGAGGGCCAGCCGGACTGGGTGGACTGGTTCCCTGTGAAGGCGAGGATCCTGGACGGATGCGTCGCCAGCGCCAGCGACCCGCTGATTGTGGATGTCGCCGCCGGCAGTGGGCGGGATATGTTGGCATTTCAGAGGAAGTTCCCCGACGTCGCGGGTCGAATCATCATCCAGGATCTTCCGGCTGTGTTCCAGGACGTTCATGGCCAGGATCTCGGGCTGGAGAAGGTCGAGCACGATGTTTTCGAGCCGCAGCCTGTCGTTGGTAAGTTAACCTCCTGTCCACCTCCGAGCCTTGTGCGTACATCTGCTGATGTATGCTGGTAGGCGCGCGGGTCTACTATCTCAGATTCATTCTGCATGAGTTCTCGGATGATAACTGCCGAAGGATCCTGAGGAATATTACCAGGGTGATGACAAGAGGATACTCGAAGGTCTTGATCGAGGAGTTCCTCCTCCCGGATGAGCATGCTGGCCTTTTACATTCTCTGGTGGATATGATTCTGATGGTCTTTGGGCCGGGGATTGTGCGCACGCAGACGCGTTGGGTCGCGCTTCTTGAGTCTGTGGGCCTTTCTGTCAACCTCGTGGCGCATCCGGACGGGGATGGGCCGTCTATCATCGAGGCTGAATTGGTGAATGTGGAGTCGGAGTGAGTGGGCTGGTGGGGACTCGTTGCGTAGTCTACTCTGAGGATTTCAGGAGACATATGAAACACGTTCCAGCCAGATTTCGAAGGCGTTAACATGTCAACATCGTACATCCATTTTGATGCTCTACCATTGCAACGATCGCTACTTGGATTTGCTCAGTTTTGAGGTGGCCACAGGGAGAACATTGCTCAATAAGAGTGATCTGCTGTGAAGATGACAATCTTCGGTCCTACGGGCAAATTTGATCAGGCGCAGCATCCGTGCATGGCGGCTCAGAGAGCTCCAAAGAATCTGCAAGTTTGGTAGGTTCTGTGTCAATCTCGTGTGCCTTCGAGTACTGCGCGATGGGCTCCAGCTTCCGGCACTTATGCCATACGCTGAAGTCCGGGTAGCTGAGAGCGCGACCCTTGACCCAGCTCCTCGTCACGACCCCGACATCGCCGTTGCATTGGATCACTTGTCGCAACATGTCGATGCAGTGGTCTGGATGTATGTCAGAATTAGATAGCAAGGGGCAAAAGGGACAGCAATGCCATACCTACATGCAGTCGCAGCGTCTCATTCGAATCGTTGAACTCTGCCGGTCTGTTCTCCAGCTGAGAGTAGTAGTCGTAGTACGTGTACTGTCGAACTAGATTGACGCAGTGGAGCTGATCCACGTGTTAGTTTGAGGTATCTGGACAGATGCGCATGAGAGCTTGTAGATGTGAAGCTGAGGGGGGCGCAACCTGATGGAACACCTCGATCCCACCCGCATACCCGTTCCCCTCGGTTTCGGCCACTTTCACCTGGGTCAGCGGTTTGTTGAGCCGGAACATGTCCTCTGCTGTGATCTCAAGTTGCGCCACTAGAAATCATCAGTATAGAGACGGAGACAACGGACGCAAAGAGAAGATACTGTGAGTGATGTGGCCCCATGCCGCGTCCAGGTGTGGGTTGGGGGCCCCTTTGTATGGATTTGTGTCGAAGAGGCTTCCTTGGAAGCGGACATCCTCATATTCCACGAGGTGTGTGAAAGGGGCTATATATTGTTACTATGATTAGCGGTGTTTGTTAAGAGGGCGATGCACCTACAATATGCTGATACCTGTTCTGCACACTTACGGCCGGTAGGAGAGGATCGGTTGAGTCTCAAGGCTGAGATTAGCAAGGAGAAAGAGAGGAGGAAAAACAGGAGATGCAATGCCCAGAGCCAGTGCGCAGTTCGAACATGAAGATGATGTGGGTGGGGTATGTCAAAGTGGTCTAAGAGAGGATCACTGTCGTCAGTCATCGGGTCCTCTATTGAGCCCTTAGGGTGAAGTGGGATGGACTCCATTCTGGCTGATCAGCATACTCGAGCTATGAGGAGGGTGAGTATATCAACTCCGCGGACTACCTCCCCACACATATTATGCCCAATATTTAGAAGATATGTGCTATCATTTGATAGGTATCACGAAGGACTTGTTGTCTTATGACGATCTACCTAGTAATGACTGCAGGCATATCACTCCGGCATGGGTCTGTTTATCGGTGACCAATCAATCGATAGCTCTTAGCTTTCTCCTGTTTCTAACAGAGTGATCTTTTCTTCTCTCATAAAGAATGTCATCGAAATACAGGTGCGACCGTAGTCGGTGTGTGCTAATTAGTTATGGACGAAGAAGAGCCTTCTACGAAGAACTCTCGGTATGAGGATGGATAATTAATAAGTTTGTAGGTTCACAGAAGTCTGGTATCAGGATTCTGTCCCTGAACATGTGTAGTTAATTGCATGAGAACAGATAAACATGTTGCAGCCCCAGAAGCATATTGTTATCAGAATCCGGGGGCTATTGTATTAGCAGGCATATCTTGGGCGAGATGAGGAGATAATGCAGTAAGCTGGCTGCACTTGCAGGGTAGGTAGATAGTCTTCTATATCTCGGATGTGATCGGATGGCCTGGTTGCTATGCACAAGTAGATATTCATAGTAAATGAATAAAAAAGTACCTCATGATTCAACCCCGCACGGAATGCTCGCTCCGGGCCGCGCTGGCGCTGGTGGGCGGGGGAAAATTCCCCCGATGCTAGCCGAATCCACCAAACTTATCCGCTTTGAACCTCTCCGGGCTCCGGGCTGTTCTCCTGTTCTTCACATGGTTAACTTACTGTATCACATAACTTACTCCGTACTCTCACATACTGTGAACAGTATGGCTCCTCCTCCCATCCACATCCTTGGACTCGGGAGCATCGGGACCTTCATCGCTCATTCGCTACGCTCCTTGCCCGCACGTCCGCCCGTGACCTTGCTCCTACATCGACCTGGCTTGTACGGTCAGTTCTTAGCCCGTGAGGGCAAACTCCGCGTCCAGATTGGGGAGTCTGGCCCCTCGGCCGAACAGAATGGGTTCGAGGTCGAGCTTCTGGGGAAGAGCCAAGACTCCGCCCACCAACAATCCACCGACCCCATAAAATGCGTGGTCGTCACCGTCAAGGCTTCATCGACCATCGCCGCTCTACAATCGATCCAGCACCGGCTCAACCACCAGTCCACCGTCTGTCTCCTCCAGAATGGCCTGGGACAGATCGAGCAGCTGAACGACCAGCTCTTCCCCAACCCACACACCCGCCCCACCTACATCTCCGGCATCATGCGTCTCGGTGTCTATCTACGATCGCCCTTTGACGCGGTGCTGGCGGGCATGACCGGCTCCGTTACCGTGGGGACCGTCCCAGGCGGCAACAATAGCAATAACAACACATCCCCGTCCACCCGCTACCTACTAGATCGACTAACCGAGTCGCCCATCCTGCAATGCACCGAATCCCCCTGGGCGGACCTCTTCCAGGCCCAACTGCTCAAGCTGTCCGCCAACTGCGTGATCAACCCGTTGACGGCGGTGCTGGACGTGCGCAACGGCGCCCTCCTCGACAACCTCGAGGTCCTGCCCCTGCAGCGCCAGCTCCTCCAGGAGGTCTCGCGGGTCTTCCAGCGGCTGCCCGCCCTGCGCGACCGCCCCGACGCGCAGCAGCAGTTCGCCTTCCCCTCGCTGGAGGCCTCGCTGATCAGTGTCATCCAGCAGACGGCGAGCAACTCGAGCAGCATGCGCGAGGATCTGCGCAAGGGCCGCGCGACCGAGATCGAGTTCATCAACGGCTGGGTGGTGCAGCAGGGCGAGGCCTTGGGGGTGGATTGCTCGGCCAACCGCATGCTGCGGCAGCTCATTCGGGCCAAGAGCAATTCGGCCGGGACGGAGAAGTAGCGGATTTCCGCTCGGAGAGACAAGGCTTGGCCGGAGTATCGGTGTGCAGTGTATCACCTTCGCGTGGGCATTTTCGAAGGTTTGGTCCTGCAAATGGCTGCGCGAAAGACAGGATCTACGATGTGCGGTGGAGCTATTCTTAGGAGCAAGCTGGGCGGTGTACCCTTGACGAAGCAAGTAAGCAGAGACCCTACATGCAGATGTTGTGCATGATCATGCCATGAATGAACTGGCTGTAGGCAGGATATAACAGTTGTCAGCGGAGGTTGACCGGCGGATGTACTCCGAGTAGATAAAACAACTGTGAACACAGCACAACCAAAAAAGAAAGAGAAGAAAAGAAAAACAGAAAAACGGAAAAAGAAAGGAAAAGAAAAAGAAAAAGAGAGCCAAAAAGACTTGGCATGGCAGTGGATTTTACAACCCAACCAGGAAGAAAAAGGGGGATAAATGATTGGGCAGCCATGATCTCCAGGCAGCACCTGGCACCCTCCCTTACCGCCTTCCGTACAAAGCACTAGCCGCCCCACCAGGCGGGGCAGATTCCGAATCGATAGTTTCAGAATTGGTCGCCACTCTGAGGAATTTTCCATCGACAGCCGCAAGCAGAGGGCCCTCTCACGTGGCAACCTGGAGCCATTCGGAAGTTCCGAACTTGGCCTCGAGGTCGCGGTTGTCTGCAAGTGCGCGAGAAGACAGACACAGATGCGCAACACGCAGAGAGCGTTCGCTCTGCCTGAGTTGTCTCGGGTATACGGCAAGTGATTGCGACTGGGATACTAATCATTAAGAAGGATCAGGAAGATTCGTGATGACGGATGTGACAACAATGAGAGAATACGATTCCACACGACTAATCAATGCATGCCAGTTGAGTGTCTTACTCACCCCCCGTGCTGACGTCATGGCGGCATTGGCCCGCTGTCGGCCAATGGGGGCCAGACCACTGCTGCCTCGATGCCTGAGGCACCAGATGCAAGCATCACATCACCGCAATCATTTCATCTGCTCCATTCAGTGCATCTGCTGCTCAATGGATGAAACAAACGGTCAATTGGAAACTTCACTAGTACCACTAGTACCTCTCATCTATCGGTGTGTGCTGGAGCTGAGATCAACGAGGTGTGCTGGTTCTGGGTTCGGCAATGCCAACTACTCCCGGAAGCCGTTAAATGTGGGGCGAGGGCAGCTGGACGGATAAGTCGGAATGGTGCACTGCGCCTGATTCATGGATCTGGTCAAGGCAAAAAAAAAAGGCTGAATGTCCCTTTTTTTTTTTCTCTCTCTCTCTTCCTTGGGTTTAATTGTAATAATATTATGCCGTCTGGTCCCTGGAGCTTGTTTCTCTTTCCAGGTTTTCCACTTTTCAATCAAGCCTCTGGTGGCCATTCCACTCCCACCTTCGTGTCTCCTCTCTTCCTCTCTCCCTCTCGCCTCCATCTCCCGCCCCTTCTGAGTCGAACTATCAAGTATGTCTGCCTTCGACAAAGAGCTCGAGATGGCGGAAGCCGACGCCCGCCCTCACACCAAAGAGGAAGACCTGCGGAGGTCTTCTGAGAATCCAGACCGGCCGAGTTCCTCCGGCTCGGCTTCTTCCGGCTCGAGCAGCTCCATCGACTATAATCCCCAGATTCACCGGCTCCAGTCCCGGAATACCGAAGTTGACCTCGAGCGCCTCCGCACGGGGACCTCCCATGCGCTGAGTCGCATCGAGACCCAACGTCTTCAGCATGCCCTGACCGTGGGTGAAAGTGTCAAGTCGCGACCATCTCGAGGCCCGTTGCCGGCGTTCGGCGGGGGCAAGCCCTACCCTCCTCCTCTCCCCGCCCGTGAAGACTATGTCGTCGAATTCGACGGGCCTGCCGACCCTCTATACCCTCAGAATTGGCCCTTGATGCGAAAGTAAGTCTTCTCATGCATTGCTTCTAATGGTACATTGTCCGGTAGCCAAAGGATGGATGGCTAACTGCCTTCCTTCTCCCCGTCTAGAGTATACATCAGTGCCATCCTCGCGTTTACCAGTATCTGCTCCACCTTTGACTCGGCCGTCTTCAGCGGTTCCAGCACCAATGTCGCGAAGCACTTCCATGTTGGTCTCGAAGTGGCCACCCTGTCGAGTTCGCTGTACATCATCGGATACGCCTCGGGTCCGCTGATCTGGGCCCCGCTGTCGGAGTTGAAGGGTCGTAAGCTTCCGATCGTCGTCGCGATGTTAGGGTTCGGGATCTTCAACACGGCCGTCGCCGTCGCCAAGGATCTCCAAACCCTCATGATCTGTCGGTTCTTCTGCGGTATCTTCGGCAGTTCCCCATTGGCGGTCGTGGCGGCGATTTTCTCCGACATGTACGACAACCGCACGCGCGGGGTGGCCATCGCCATGTTCTCTGGCACGGTGTTCCTGGGCCCCCTGCTGGCGCCGTTCATCTCAGGCTTCATCAACGCCTCCTATCTCGGCTGGCGCTGGACCGCCTACATCCCCGCGTTCATGGGCTACGCGGCCTTTGTGCTGAACGTCTTCTTCCTGCGCGAATCGTACCCGCCGGTGATCCTGGTCTCCAAGGCCTCGGAGCTGCGCCGCCGCACGAAGAACTGGGGCATCCACGCCAAGCAGGAGGAGATCGAGGTGGACCTGCGGGAACTGGTGATCAACAACTTCTCGCGCCCGCTGCGCCTGCTCATCAACGAGCCCCTGATCCTGGCGGTGACCATCTACCTCAGCTTCATCTACGGGCTGCTGTACTGCTTCCTGACGGCGTACACGCTCGTGTTCCAGGGGGTGTACCACATGGAGGCCGGCGTCAGCGGGCTGCCGCTGTTCGGCATGGTGGTGGGGCTCATCATCGCGGCCGGGTACATCATCTGGAGCTCGCGCGGGTACAGCCGCCGGCTGGACGCCAACGGCGGCGTGCCCGTCCCCGAGTGGCGGCTGCCCCCCGTCATCGTCGGCGGTGCCCTCTTCGCCGCGGGACTGTTCTGGTTCGGCTGGGCGGGCTACACCGGCCGCGTCCACTGGATCGTGCCCACGCTGAGCGGCCTGTTCACCGGCTTCGGGCTGCTGATCATCTTCATCCAGCTCTTCAACTACCTCATCGACACCTACCTCATGTTCGCCGCCTCCGCCATCGCCGCCAACACCTTCTGTCGATCCATGGTCGCCGCCAGCTTCCCGCTGTTCTCGCGCCAGATGTTCAACAACATGGGCATCGAGTGGGCCTCGACCCTGCTGGGCTGCGTGGCTGCGATTCTGGTCCCCATCCCCGTGGGCTTCTACTTCTTCGGGCGGAGATTGCGGATGAAGAGCAAGTTTGCGCCGTTCTACGAGAAGGCGCAGGAGTCGCATGCGCCCGATGAGGATGACCATGTGCTGGAGGGGGAGAACGGGGCCGCCCACTAAGGGTTGCGCTGCACGTGGATGACGGAGGGAAGGACAGACACTATTATACCGCATTGTATATGTAATGATAATTCTTAGTGACGTGGAGCGTTCTTGTCATGGCATTTGCATTGGCATTCTGCAGGGTTAGCATAAAAGTTGGGAGTGAACATTGAGTATCTTTTCATATATGTCTATGCAGTGGGAGTTGGTTGGTTTGATGTAGTGTCAAGAAAGGGTCGCTATCGTGGAATCGAGATAAGGTGGTTTGGCTGTTTTGTCGTTCAACCTGTAAGCTAGACTGCAGGATATGGTGGTTGAAATGTTGGCACATTATATAATCAAGGTGCTGTGGTCTAGTGGTATGACGTCACGTTGTGGCCGTGCCAGCCCCGGTTCGATTCCGGGCAGCGCCACTTTCTTTTTTGCGCTCTTTTTACCGTGTCGGGGGTTTTGCCTTTGGCATAAGATAGTTGGGGAGTCTCATGATAATCTGATGCCAAGACGCAACAAGCATCACTTCCCCCATGCCAGCAGGTGCAATCGAACCACACCCAGACCTCAAGCTTCAGGCCACCGAGGGTGTCCCTTGCAGCGTGAGTTCCACTCAGCACAGGCAGCATCACGTGCCCCGACCGGTGCCTGGCCGGTCCACCCGAGCTCAGGCCAATCACAGTCCTCTCTTGCTCAGGGTCTTCAGGCAACAGCCGGGCGCTGAGGCCTCAGGCTAGCGATCGGCCTAGCGGCGGGGACCAAACAGGCAAGTAGCTGCTTTGCTTCATAGCTTCTTCGTCGCTCCACCCTCGCTTTATAACCATGTACATCTCCTTCAATCCTTTCGCTTGTGCCATCTCTATCCTCTCCTTTGATTCTCACACCATCTCCAGTGTTGATAAACTTTGGTCTCAGGCTCATCTTCCCCTATTCCAGACACATTGTGACCCGCAAGACCTTGTATTCGCAACCGAGCCAAATATCGTTGGTCGGCGAGCTCACTCACCACTCTTTCCCCTGCACATTCGGGTCCCTTTCACTGCCCTCTCATAACCATGACAAAACTACCTCTAGACGGCTTGGTCATCGCCGTAGGCGGGACTTTCCCCGGCTACAAACAAGGTGCGAATGCCCCGATCATACGCCAGTCTCGTTTCCAATTGTCCGGGTTGCAACAGACTAACTCTCACAGCCGACCTCACTTCCATCATCAAGAAACAGGGAGCTGAGTTCAGTGCGGCCATCACCGAGACCTTGACCCACCTGATCACAACCCCCAAAGAAGTTGCCAACCAGAGCCGCAAATGTGAGTCCATCCCCGAAAGCCGGCCCAACGGACAGTCCCGCGGGGAAGCTTGGAGCGTTACACAATCTGGCAGGTGACTGCTGCCTGGACGCCCTACTGACTCTTCCCTCCCTAGACACGCAGGCATGCAAGGTTCCGTACTGCAACATCGTCTCGCTGGATTGGCTCATCGACTCAGAAACGGCCGGCAAGAGACTGGCGGAGAAGGACTTTCTTCTGGACAACGCGAGCAACAAAGCCAAGACCGATGGTGAAGAGACCAAGAAGAAGCGCACGCTGGAGCAGGCGCTGGGGGTCAACGAGGATGGGACGACTAAGAAGCTCAAGAATGCGCAGAAGGCTGGGACAAAGGCGCTGAACATCCCTGTGGATGATGAGTGCTCGCTTCGACGTTCGTGATCCATCTTTGCTGGTGAGAGTGGTGTCAAGAGCTGACAGATTTGCTTAGGCTCTCATAAAGTGTACATCGACCCGGAGTCAACCATCTGGGATGCCACCCTGAACCAGACCAGCGCAACCAACAACAATAACAAGTTCTACCGCATTCAGCTTCTCACCAACCCTACCCAGACGGAGTTCATGACCTGGACCCACTGGGGCCGAGTCGGAGAGAGTGGCCAACATGCCCTGTTGGGTAATGGGTCCCTTGCCCGCGCCGAGGCCGAGTTCCAGAAGAAGTTCAAGGACAAATCGGGCCTCACGTGGGAGAAGCGGCTGGAACCACCCAAGAACAACAAGTATACATTCATCGAGCGTAACTACGAAGAGAATTCGGAGGATGAGGATGAGGATGACGCGCCCGCGGCCAAGAAGAAGGTCGAAAAGAAGCCCAAGGTGGAGGTCAAGAGTGCTCTGCCCGTGCAGGTGCAGGACTTGATGGCGTTCATCTTCAACCAGGAATTCTTCTTGTCCACCATGGCTGCCATGTCGTACGATGCGAAGAAGCTGCCCCTGGGCAAATTGAGCAAGCGTACCCTTCAAACAGGTTTCCAGGCGTTGAAGGATTTGTCAGAACTTGTGACCGACCCGGCGTTGGCAGCCTCCAAGTACGGGATGAGTTTTCAGGGCGCCGCGGAGTACCTCAGCAACAAATACTTCACTACAATCCCCCACGTCTTTGGACGCAATAGGCCGCCTGTTCTCACCCAGGGTGATCTTCTGAAGAGAGAAATTGAGCTGCTGGAGACGTTGACGGATATGGAGGTTGCGAACAATATCATGAAGGACGCGGAGGACGCGGAGATGATCCACCAGCTCGATCGCCAGTTCCAGGGCTTGGGAATGAATGAGATGACACCATGTAGGTTCAGCACACGGGTTGGAAGTTGACTATTATTGACCATATTCAGTGGCCCGTACCTCAACCGAGTTCCAAGAGCTGGAAACCTACCTTGTGCGGTCGCGTGGTGCATCTCACAGTGTGGGCCTTAATGTGAGCTCAAGACATGTCATACCGAGATCAAGACTAAGCTAATCTCCCTCACAGGTCATCAACATCTTCCGTATCGAGCGCCAAGGCGAGAACGACCGCTTCAACTCCTCCCGTTTTGCCAAGATTAAGAACGGCGACCGCCGCCTCCTGTGGCACGGATCTCGCAGCACCAACTTCGGTGGTATCCTGAGTCAAGGTCTGCGCATCGCGCCCCCCGAAGCTCCTGTCAACGGGTACATGTTCGGCAAGGGCGTCTACCTGGCGGATATGTCGACCAAGTCGGCCAACTACTGCTGCGCCTACGGCAGTGGCAACAAGGGTCTATTGCTGCTGTGCGATGCGGAGCTGGGCGACCCCATGCTCGAGCTGGAGCACGGCAACTTCAACGCGGGCGAAGACGCCGCAAAGCAGAACAAGATCGCGACCCTGGGTCGGGGCCGGTCGATCCCCGCGGGCTGGAAGGATGCGGGCTGCGTCCATCCCAGCCTGGCCGGGGTCAAGATGCCGGACACGGCGCACGGGGCGGCGATTCGGAATGCGGCGTCGCTCATGTACAACGAGTACATTGTGTATGATGTCGCACAGATCCGGCAGCGGTATCTTTTCCATGTGGATATGCGGTAGGCTGGTTTTACTTCGGCGCAATGGGTAGTGGTATTAGCGGGGCGCAAGGGCATTTGCTGGTAGTCGCTTGATGGTGTTTCAACGAAGGGTTATTTCATTTCGATCCGCGCATATTTGTGCTATTAGCATGACGATGTATTTTATTTGACGAATCTCTTTTTCTTTTCTACAATCCATCGCAACTCGATGAGGCAGACAGTAATGACATTCTTTGTGAAGTTGGGGTAAGCCAGTGGCCGGACAGAGGGCTGTAGATGCTGGCAATTTAGGTTGGTAATGCCTGGTTGCATGTCGATTATTCTCCCCTGAGAGCTGGGTTCTCCAAGCAGCAACTCAAGCTCAGTAAAGGTCTGGAAGATGCAACCAGCACAGCCACCAGTCAAAGTAGCCGCAACGGGGTGCATGAGGCGGGAGATGTCCTACCAGTACAACATCCCAACCCACGGCATCCAGAAAGGCTGTTGGGGAATCCACGGATGTTTCCCGTCTGGCTCGGTGCGGATCGGTGAGTATTCACTTTCACCCCTGGTCCATTTCTTTGTTATCCTCTGCTGAAGCAAACTTTGTCTGGCTTCTCATCAACAAACTGTTTTTCTGCTTTCTCAACATGTGTGAACCTGATTCTAACAGCGTGGAACTTCATTTTTACCACTAGAACTGAGCAGAGAACTGGCACTGTACTCACCACCTGTGATCGAGTGAACACGTGGTGCAGTACTTCCTACGCAGAGTCTCAACTCGAGCTATTCAGGTACAGTGTATACATAATAACTGAATCACATACAGACAGCTAACATAATAATGTAGGCACCGATCAAACCATCAAAACAGGCAATTTCTCCCCACAACAGCCATGTTGCTCTCTCGCATCGTGCACTTTCTCACCCAGGCATCCACGCTTCGCCGTTGCCCCCAGCCACAACCCTGCGAGGGTCTCACTCTAAAAGCCAGCAGCATCCCCGACATCAAGATTCTCTCTCTCACCAGCCACGAAGTCCACAACTACCAGTCCCCCTACACCCAAGGCCAGAAACTCGACTTCTGCGACGTGCCGGTCACCCTCACCCACGCCAACGAATCCGACCTGGTCCAGCTCTCCGTCTGGCTACCGTCCCCCTCCGCCTGGAACGGCCGCTTCCTGGCGACCGGCGGCGGCGGCCTGGCCACCGGCTACATCGGGTATGCGCAGCCCGCGGCCGTGATCCAGGGCTACGCGGCGGCGGCCACGGAGGGGGGATTGACACTGAACGGCACAATCGACCCGCAGACGGGGCAGTGGGGGTTACGCGCGGACGGCACGCTCAACACGGCGCTGCTGACCAACTACGCCCACCGCTCCGTCCACGACCTGGCGGTGCTGGGCAAGGCCCTCACCACCGCGCTCTACGGCACCGCGCCGCGCTTCTCCTACTGGCACGGCTGCTCCACCGGCGGCCGACAGGGGTTCGTCGCCGCCGCGCTCTACCCCGCCGACTACGACGGGATCCTGGCCGCGAGCCCCGGGATCCACCTCCCCGAGCTGTTCGCGTGGCTGCTCTGGCCGCCGGCGCTGATGCTGAACGCCTCCTCGGCCTCGCCGCCGCTGCCACCGCCGCAGTGCGTGTTCTCCGCGTTTCAGCGGAGTATCATCGAGGCGTGTGACGCGCTGGACGGGGCGGCGGACGGGCTCATCTCCGGCTCTGGCAACTGTCCCTTCGACGCGAGTGGGCTCGTGAATACGACGATCCCCTGCGCCGAGACCAATACCTCCGTCACGATCACCGAGCAGCATGCCACCCTCGTGCAGGCGATCCTGGACGGCCCCGTCGACCCGGCCACCGGCAACACCCTCTGGTACGGCCTCCCGCCCGGGGCATCCTTCCGCGGCACCGCCGATACCACCACCACCACCACCACCACCACCACCACTAACGGAACCCACCCAACAACAGCAACAACACGAATAAACCCCTTCCTCCCCGCCGTCAGCTGGCTGCGCAACTTCCTCCTCAAAAACCCCACCTACAACATCTCCACCCTCACCATCCCCGGATTCGTGGATGCGGTGCACGCCTCGCGGGAGCAGTTCGGCGACCTCCTGTCCAAAGAGCAGCTGGGGCTCGAGGGCTTCCAGCAGGCGGGCGGGAAGCTGCTGGCGTGGCATGGGCTAGCGGACGAGATCGTGCCGCCGGCGGGGACGGTCAAGTACCGGGAGATGGTGGGGGAGGCGTTTAGCGAGCCGAATGTCGAGGTGGAGGATTTCTTTCGGCTGTTCCTGGCTCCCGGGGCGGGCCATTGTGGCGGCAATCTCGGCGTGGGGTATGGGCCGGTGCCGGTGGATGCGCTGGGGGCGCTGGTGCGCTGGGTGGAGGATGCGGTTGAGCCGGAGACGTTGTTTGCGGAGGTGACCGGGGGTGGGGGGAGAGTTACCAGGGAGTTGTGTTTGTGGCCGGGGGTGTTGCGGTGGGATGGAGAGGGGGGGTTGGATTTGGCGGGGAGTTTTGGGTGTGAGGAGTAGATGGATGGGTGGGGGTGGTTGAGGTGGGGTGGTGATTGGGGTGATTCTGGAGGGGGTGATGGGGGGTGATATTAGGTGGTAATTTTAGGGTTAGCTGGGGGGATGGGTGGATGGGTGGCTAAGGAAGAAGGGGAGTGCATGTGTTTCATGGAGATAATTTCACGTACGCTTGTATCTTGGGTCTGGTACTCCTCCAGGCCTAGCTGTCTTGACCCTAGTAAGGATGGTTAAGCTTCTTCGGTAGTCAAGGGAAGAGATTTTCGGGCAGGTAATAGTTCATCCTGTTGGTCATGTTGGCGCTAGTACAGCGATAGAATCTGCTGATGAGCTACAGACAGGTGAATGAGCTGATGGGGGGTGAGAACAAGGGTGGAGGGAAGTATGAGAGGGATAGGTTTGATGGACAGGTTTGTACTGCAAGGTGAATGCTATAATCTACCTCAATACCTTCCTGAGTTGCACATGATCTGCATCAAAGTCAATCCCAGATGGGCTGATGGGCTATCTTTATGTTTAGGCCAACTGCCTGCTTCACGATCAAAGGGACGATGCGATGACCAAGGTAGGTGAGGTCAAATGTACCGTACGCAGAGCTCTAAATCTCTGCACTGGAAAACCAGAACGAGCTACAAGTAGATCGCACTTCTGCCTTTTGCAACATCTCCTATCAACCTTGTGCGGGCTCCTCCGGCTGATCCGAACCCGGCAGCATATGCTCTAGCTCACGAATGTCAGACAAAGAACGATCGCTGACAGGGGTCCAGAGCTGAAGTTAGACTTGTGCATGCGGGAGCAGTGTTATCATCTTATACATGATAATCACAATTTAAGTTCATTTCCAGCAATGCTGACATCAAGATCTGCTGCGGGGCAATAATCCTCTTGCCGATGCGGGGCAATCCGCACGCTAACCCGCAAAGCCATGGGAAGAGCGAGATACGCTCTGCTCCTCCCGTCAGCTTACTGCAACCCATGGATGCGTCGCAGCCACCTTCTCATCGCCGGTATACTTATCATCTCAGTGAATAGATATAAAGGTGACAGCCACTGCCATCTGGCACACTCCTTTGCCTGCAAAGTACTTAACTCGCAAGCACGTCTCATCATGGATCCCGAAATCCCCAAACTCTCCTTTGACCTTGTTATAGTCGGAGCGGGTGTCGCTGGTAACCCCCTCCCCAATTATGAATTAGAGGTTAAAGACTGAATCAAATTGCAGGCTGCGTCCTCGCGAGTCGCATCTCGCATGCGCGCCCCCACCTCCGCATCCTCCTCCTCGAGGCCGGGGTCGACAAGGACGACCGCGTGCTCCCCACCCTCGGCATCATGGGGGGCTTCGACTCGACCCTCGAGTGGAACTACCGCTCGGTGCCCCAGGCCCGGGGGTTCGGAGGCGAGGTCGTCAATCTCACGTCCGGCAAGATCGTGGGCGGCGGCTCCGCGGTGAATTACCAGACCTTCACGCGGGGGCCCGCCGTTGATTAGTACCCCCCCCCCCCTTTCCTCTGTACAATTCTTCACGGATGAAATACTAAGTCCAGGTACGGGGTAGCGACCAATGGGCCGAGCTCGTGCAAGACCCGCGGTGGTCGTGGAGCAGTCTCCTGCCGTACTTCAAGAAGTCGGAGACCTGGTTCCCCTCGGCGGATCTGCGGGAGCGCGGGCTTCCCACTACGAATCTGCATGGCCACGATGGTCCGATCAAGGTCCGTTCGTGATTCTGTGGGAGATTGAGAGAAAGGTGATGGTGAAGATGCTGATCGGCCGTAGGTCAGCCATGCGACGAACAGCGGCAGGCCGCGTAACTATCCCCTCCGCGAGACGAGTCGACGGTTCCACGAGCTGCGTGGGTGCCAGCACGCGCTGGATATCAACGGGGGCAACCCCGAGGGGTACGCAGAGGCGTTCAACTCCACCTACGAGGGGCTGAGGAGCTATGCTGCTGGCTACGTGCTCGGGGAGAATGTCACGCTGTGGACCCGATCTCTGGTGGAGAAGGTGGTCGTGGAGCAGGGCGCGGCGAAAGGAGTGGTCGTCCTGCGGCCTGTGGGCGATACCGACACGCATGAGCGCTTCTACGTCGAGGCGAGCAAGGAAGTCATTCTCTCTGCGGGCGCGCAGAGCTCGCCCAAGATCCTGCTTTTGAGGTGGGACCACCCAGTCATCTTGTGTCATGACGTGTCATGACCATAAGTTATCCTAAGATACAAGTTAGGGCATGCTAACGGGATGGATGGACTGTACGTGCAGTGGCATCGGCCCTACCGCGGAGCTGGCACGACACCAGATCCCCCCGATCGTCGACCTCCCCGTCGGACGCAACTACGCCGACCACCCCGCCATCTTCACCTACTGGGCCATCGACCTCCCCAACGCGGTCCTGGGCGATGGCGAGATGCAGGGGCCCGACCTCGACTGGACCGCGGGGCTGCCCTACGACTGGATCTCCTTCGCGCCCGCCGACCAGGGCACCCGCGAGCTGGCCCGACAATTCCTCCCTGCGGACCAGTACCAGCGTTACTCGGCGCCAGGCAAGCTGCAGGTCGAGGCATTCACGGTGTAAGCGCCTTCGGCTCACGTTACTAAAGCATTCACTGACGGTATGCGAACAGCTACACCTCCGTCGACACATGCACCCGCACCCCCCTCGCGCCCGGCTGGCCCGGCAAACGCGTCTTCAGCATCGCCCACATCCTCGTGGACCCGGTCTCGCGTGGCACCGTCACCCTGCGCTCCGCCGACCCCACCGACCCGCCCATCCTGGATCCCAACCTGCTTGCCTCGCCCGTCGACCGCTCGGCGCTGTACGAGTGCGTGCGGAGCTGTGCGCGCGCAATCCAGGCGGTCGAGGGGCTAAATGCCGTGGAGTGGGGGGTCGAGGACGCCCTCCGCGGGGACTGGTCGGATGAGGCGATTGAGAGTCGCGCCCGGCGTATGGGCGCGGGTACCGTCTTCCATCCGTCGGGAACTTGTGCGATGGGGCAGGTGGTGGATGGGGATTGTAGGGTGTTGGGCGTCGAGGGGCTGCGGGTGGTCGATGCGGGGGTCATTCCGATTCCGTTGGCGGCGCATTATCAGGCGCCTATGTATGGGGTTGCGGAGAGGGTAAGTTACTTTCTCTTGATGTCGTGGGGGATATTGACTTGTTAACTGACTGGGTGCTAGGCTGCTGAGATCATCTTGGGGGAGGTGTGAGGGTTGTGGAGTTCGACAGAGAAGAGAATGGGTGGTGGGTAGCATAACGATATCGATTGGATGCAAATATAGCACCGTACATTTCCGAATCCAAGCAGTGAATTATCGGTTGCATCTGATCTTGTGTGTGTGTGTGTGTGTGTGTGTGTGTGTGTGTGTGTGTGTGTGTGTGTGTGTGTGTGTTTCAACAGGAAGAACTCTGTGAGAAAAGGAAGGGAGGGAAGAGCAGAAAAAAGGAAGGTTAAAAAGAAACGACCGAGACGCGACTCGAACGCGCAACCACTGCCACATCCTCAACCGGAAGGCAGCGCGCTACCATTGCGCCACCCGGCCATTATTGAAGATGAGCGTTACTACTACATAACATATCCTGTGCTCTGTTTTACGTGCAGCTATTTTAACCATCTCAACCTCTTTACTCAAACAATCCACAAACTCGCCACTGGTCATTTCTTGGGACTTTCATTCAATAGTCCTGCATCGCACTTACACTGCCATGATGCTCCGTCCCTGTATTTAGGCTGAATTGCCCGACTCACACGTGTAATCTCATGCTGGTGGAGAGTCGTGGATATCAGATAAAGCAATCAAGCATCACCACCGGGAATATATTTCCAATACACCCCAAACCCCTCAGATTCCCACAAATGACGGCAGTGGCTGTCCTCACTGCCCAGCCTTAATTAAAAGTCCAAGCAAGCCAAGCGACCGAGCCAAGTACAGCGAATTCAACGCCCAACCTCGACCCGAGAAGTCGAACCCCGGTGGAGACCATCTCTCCGGATTCCCCAGAAACAGTGGGGAACCGCCACTCTATCCGGCAAGTATCGTCACTTTTCCCCAAACCCTTCACGAAATCTTCCGATCCCATTCGACTGCAGCCAACGGCCTCTCCCCCTGCCCAAATCGCTCGGTCTGTTTGCCGACGGGCTCCACTGCAATCCCAGCGCTGACCTTGGCTGCAGGCTGCGATGACGGTGCGGTTGCGGATGAGGAAAGTCATCCGAGCAGAGATTCGAAGTGAATGCCACCCGTACTCCCGGAATAGGGCTGTCCACGAGCATTTCTCCTCTGCGCGATATAGACAATGCCCTTCAAGCCACAACACAGTTGAGGCTTCACTGACCCACCGATCAAGCCATGTCGGCAATGCTTCGTCCCACGCGAATTTCACTCCTCAAATCCCGACGGCATGAAGCTATAAAATGCCGGGCAACCCCCGAGACAATGCGGAAGACCAAATCAAGGCCACAACATGGCACGCTCTCATCTCGGCGCATTGGCCGTCCTTGCGACCTCCTTGTCGCTAGGACAAGCTCGCTCCACCTGGTCTCTGGGCAACGGATTCGAACTCGCCTGGCAGTCCGACCTGCACCAGGTGTCCATCCTTCAACACAACGAGACCGTCCTCAGCACGGTGCCCGGTCAAAGCTTCCTCAGTGCCAGCGCCGGGAAGGATCAAATTGTCGACTCGAGTGGGAATTTCAAGATCACCAATGTCGATCAGGGCCGCTGCCAGGGCCAGAACGTCACCGATGTCGCGCGGTCGACTCGTCCGGACAGTCTGGGCCATGGTGTGACGGTGCAAGGCTACCTGCTGAATTGCAGCAACCAAGACATCGCATACTCGAGCAGCTTCTGGGTTCCGGCTAATCTGTCCGACCGCGTCGCCTTCGAGGTGAACGTCGACGCAGGCCGCGATGCCAGCGCCCCCATGGAGCGACTCTACCTCACCTTCGGCTCGCACCCCTCGGAGGACTTCTATGGCCTAGGAGCCCAGGCCTCCTTTGCGTCGATGAAGAACCAGACCATCCCGATCTTCTCCCGTGAGCAGGGGGTGGGCCGCGGCGACCAGCCCTACACAGCCATCGAGGACTCGCAGAGTTTCTTCAGCGGAGGCGACCGCTACACCACTTACACTGCGATCCCCCAGTACATCAGCTCCGACGGCCACGTCTTCTACCTGTTGGAGGACGACAGCGCGTACGCGGCCTTTGACTTCCGCGACCCCGACAGCGTCACGGTCCGCTACGACGCCCTCACCGTGCATGGACACTTCATGAAGGCCGACAACATGCTGGAGGGCATCACCTTGCTGACCGAGTACACGGGGCGGATGCCTTCGTTGCCCGAATGGGTGGACCAGGGCGCCGTCCTGGGCATCCAAGGCGGCCAGGACAAGGTGAACCGCATCGTCGAAGAAGGGCTGCAGCACGACTGCCCCGTCGCGGCGGTTTGGCTGCAAGACTGGTGAGTCCACCTTGCTCGCGACCCCATCCAACCAGATTACCACTAACAACACCACCCCCACCCATCCCAGGTCCGGCACGCACCTCCAATCCGCCCCCTACGGCCACATCAACATCTCGCGCCTGTGGTGGAACTGGGAACCAGACACCAACCTATACCCGACGTGGAGCGAGTTCGTGCAGGAGCTGCGCAGCGAGCACAACGTGCGCACGCTCGCCTACGTCAACCCGTTCCTCGCCAACGTGAGCAGCAAATCCGACGGCTACCGCCGCAACCTCTTCCTCGAAGCCACGCAGCACCACTACACCGTGCAGAACACGACGACCAACACGACGGCCATCATCTCCAGCGGCAAGGGCATCGACGCGGGCATCCTGGACCTGACCAACGCGGCCACGCGGCAGTGGTTCGCCGCCGTGCTCCGCGACCAGGTCTGGAGCGCCAACATCTCCGGCTGCATGTGGGATTTCGGCGAGTACACGCCGATCACCGCGGACACGCAACTCGCCCATTTGCCGGAAGGCGAGGACGCATTCACCTACCACAACCGCTACCCGCGCGACTGGGCGGCCTTCCAGCGCGGGGTGGCGGCGACCACCCCGCTCGCGGCGGAGATGGTCACCTTCCACCGCTCGGCCTCGATGGGCGCCAACCGCCACATGAACCTCTTCTGGGCCGGCGACCAGGCCATCGCCTGGACGCGCAACGACGGCATCAAATCCGCCGTCACCATCATGGCCCACATGGGCGTCTCGGGCTACGCGCACAGCCACTCGGACATCGGGGGCTACACCACCATCTTCGAGCCCCCGCGCCTCCAGAATTCCTCGGGGGCGATCCCCCGCTCCCCAGAGCTGCTGGGCCGATGGGGCGAACTCGCCGCCGTCAGTAGCGCCTTCTTCCGGTCCCACGAGGGCAACGTCCCCCAGGTCAATGCGCAGTTCTACAGCAACGCCTCCACCTACGCGTATTTCGCGTACAACGCGAGGCTGTTCGCGGCGCTGGGGCCGTACCGGAGACGGGTGCTGCGGACCGAGTCCGAGACGAAGGGGTGGCCGCTGCTGCGGATGCCGGTGCTGTACCACCCGGAGGATGCGCGGGCGCGGCAGATCAGCTACGAGAGTTTCTTCCTGGGGAGCGACCTGTATGTGGCGCCGGTGCTGGATGAGGGGCGGCGTGAGGTGGAGGTGTATTTGCCGGCCGGGGATGTCCGCGGCCGCTCGTATCTGCATGTGTGGTCCGGGGTGAAGTTTCGGGCGGGCCAGACGGTGACGGTGCAGGCGCCGTTGGGCAAGCCGGCGGTGTTTGTGGTCGATGGGGCCAGGAGTGCGGAGCTGGATGTGTTTTGGGAGTTTGTGAGGAGGGAGAATGGGACGGTGTTGGGAGTTTGATTGAGGTTGGTTATGGGGATGGAGATGGAGATCATGGACTGTATCATAGGTGGATGGGGGTGGTTGGGACTGAGAGTCGACTCATTAGTTCTTAATGTAAGATGGACGTGGTTAGGGCTTTCTTCATCGCTATCCGTTTATCGGCAAGGAGTCTGCATCACGATGGATTGAGGATTGAGCATGTATCCTTTCTATTGCAACTTGTGCTTGATTTAGGAATATCTCTCCTATCTTGCTCAATTTTTCTGTTTCTTTCTTTCTGCTCAAAGTACGGAGTGCGCGTTGTAGTATTTTGGAAGTCACTTCCGGCCATGACAGCTATCATGTCATTACTAACGCGTCCTGAGTCAACAATTCATGGTCACGCCATATTCATGATTCAAGCGGAAGAAGTAAGAATAGAACCAATTCTACCACGCCCTGGAGTCCTGGGCTCTTTTTGACTACCGCGGAGCAGGACTAGCAAATGGGCCCACTCTCCACGACGGCAAAGTGGGGTATATCCTGGTTCTAGACCCCCGACGAACCCTTCACTGCGGTCATCGTGCAGTGCCATGCGATGGCACTGGGTATCTGGGGACTTTCTCACCAATCAATCCTGCCCAACCGCCTGCTGGATCTATCGACAAATGCTCGCTGAGTCGATCCGTCCAATAAGAGGTGGCCACATACAGAAGCCAGACTACTAGTAAGATAATCGATACGATACTAGCCCAAAACACATCAGATCAACTCTATCAAAGGCGTCTTCACAGCCTAGAAATTCTCCAGTCTAGTCTAGTACAAACTGGTACAGTACAGTACCCATCACCTGGCCATTGTGACTAGGACAATGCCGGTAAAGCCCGCGCAGCTGAACCCCACATCTTATTAGTGAAGGCAAGCTCCGAATTCCTGGTCCCATCCATCCATCCCCCCGGGTCTAGCACTTTTTGCTCTTTCTAGCCACCCAAATGATGCCCCCCGACCACCCCGATGAGACATGGATCGACGTCGATGACTCGCACCAGGAGGACTACCCCAGCGATAGCCACTCCTTCACCACCTCCCTTGCCTCCTCCGTCCAGGACTACAATTTCGAGAACGGCCGCCGCTACCATGCCTACCGGGAAGGCGAATATCCCTTCCCCAACGATGAAGCCGAGCAGGACCGTCTCGACATGGTCCACTACATCTTCCGCATGGCCTTGCAGGGGAAGCTCTACCAAGCCCCGTTGCGCGGACCCGTGCGACGCATCCTCGACCTCGGCACGGGCACGGGGATCTGGGCCGTCGAGATCGCAGACGAGATGCCGCAGGCCCGCGTGCTGGGGAATGATCTGAGTCCGATCCAACCTACCTGGTTCGCTGCCGACATCAATCCATTGTGTCGTTATGTATTGACTGAACCCATGTGTCCTTCGCACCAGTGTCCCCCCCAACCTCGACTTCATCATCGACGACATCGAAGCCCCCTGGCCCTACTCCCCCGCCGAGGCGTTCGACTTCATCCACCAGCGCAACATGGTCGGCTCCATCGCCGACTGGAACGGTCTCTTCGCCCAGGCGCACCGGCACCTCGTGCCCGGCGGATACTACGAGATCCAAGAGTTCCGGGTGGACTTCCAGTCCCAGGCGCGCAGAGGGCCCACTCTCCCCGCGAGCGCCAGCATCGCGCGGTGGCAGCATTCCCTTCAGGAGGCGTCGAGTCGCTTTGGCAAGCCCATCAACGTCGTGCACACGCTGGCCGACACGCTGCGCCGCAACGCCTTCGTCGACGTCACCGAGGAGGTCGTCAAGATCCCCATCGGCGCGTGGGCCCGCGACCACAAGCTCAAGCGGCTGGGGGTCCTCATGCAGGGCCACGCGATCGACTCGGTCGAACCCCTGACCATGGCGCTTTTCACGAGGGTGCTGGGCTGGTCGGAGGACGAGTGTCGCGCGCTGATCGCCGAGGTGCAGGCTGAGTTCTCGGCCAGTCCCGAGCGGCAGCAGTTGTTTGTTGAGTTGCATGTTATCCATGGGCGGACGCCGTGTTCGTGATGATGCAGTGGTGCGGCGTTTATGAATTGCTGCGATGGAGAGACAGACTGGTTAAGGGTAGTATTGGCTTGGTTTGGGCTGCACTGTGATTTAGCCTGTTGTCGATGCTCTCAGAAGACACTTCATGGCCTACAGGCTGATTTCGCGCGGGGTGAAGCGGGGTGATCGCTGCAAGTGCCTTCTTGGCATTGCTACACGCGTGTAGAATTGATTCTCCTCACTGATCAGCACTTATCCATGGGAGTGGCCTCATCACCCTAGCTGCTGCCAGGCATACTTGGAGGTTGTACCGTACCCTGAGTCGGTTCCTGCCCCTTGCCAACTGGTCACCCTGCATCCCAAGCACCCTTATCCACAGACATACAGTCCATCCCCTCAAGCATCCACAAACACCCCAGCATCAACCTCCTGCGCCACCGGCACATACGTCCAATTACTCCAGTACGAAGGCGTCTCCCCCGCCCCCCCATTCCCCGTGGCATACACCCCCAACAGCGTCCCTGGACAACAATTAGCCCAACCCCAACCCCCATCAAATACCATGACATCACATCACCCAGCGACAACTGAAGTACCGAGTAATTGAACTCACCAGTAAACGGCCCACTCCCCCCACTGAGAACCCCCGCACTCGCCCTGCCCAGCACAATCTCACTCCCGGGACTCCCCACCAGCGCCGCAGACAACACATACCCCGCATCATCCGGCGCGCGTACCCGCAGCACAATCCCCCTCCCCCACCACGCGGCCGGAACCGCCGAAACCACCGCGTCGGGAGCCACCAGATCCGGGCGGCCGGACGCTTCCACGCGGAGGCGGAAATGCGGGGCCAGTTTCCCGTGGGCATCCCGCAGCAGCACGAGCCCCAGATCGACGTGTTGGGTCTGGGTCAGGAAGATGGAGACGCCCGCTTCTTCGGCCTCGATGCCGGGGGTGAAGTCGTGGAGGGTGACCGCGTACTCGAAGAGCGTGCTCGTTTGGATGCGGCCGAGGAAGGAGAGGTGGTCTTTTCCGGGGGTGAAGGAGGCGTTGCCGGTTAGGTTGGCCCAGGATGGGGTGAGGCGCAGCGTGTGCGGGTGGTCTGGTGGGGAGATTGTGAATAGTGACCGGTCCGGGGCGGGGTGCTGGGGGCGCCAGGTCTGCAAGGTCGGGGGCCAGGGAGAGCCCGGCGCGAAGGAGAGTCTCTCGCTCGCGTCTACAAAGGGACCCTGGCCTGGCACGGCTCGTGAGGATGGAGGGAGCGGTCCGCGCATTGTCCCCCGGACCGGCTGGAGTCGAGGCCAGGCGCCCTCCTCCCACTCGGCGGGGTAGAGCACCGTCTCGCGACCCATGGGGTAGATCTCCCATGCGGGTCCGGATCGCGTGGCCAGCGCCACGCCCCACCAGTTCCCGGTCGGGTCCTGGAACAGGTCCGCGTGGCCGACGGTCTGGAAGTACGCGGGGGTGTTCTTGTTGGTGAGGATCGGGTTGGCGGGGCAGGGCTCGTACGGTCCCGTGACGTGCTTGGATCGCGCGATGGAGACTTGGTGGCTCGTGCCGGTGCCCCCCTCCGCGATCAGCAGGTAGTACCATCCGTCCTTGCGGTAGAGGTGCGGTCCCTCGGGCCAGATGTTCTCCGTGCCGTTCCAGAGGTAGCGCCACGAGGTGGCGGTCCAGTCGGGGAGGGCGACGGCGGACTGGAAGATGAGCGGCGTGGCGGAGTGGTTGTACCCCGCGATGGTGAGGTAGAGTCGGTCGTTGTCGGCGGCGTCCCAGAACAGGTCCGGGTCGTAGCCGGTGAGGGTCGTGGTGATGGTGATCGGCTCGCTCCAGGCCGCGTCCGCGTAGGGGTCCGTGGTCGTGAAGACGAGGAATTCGCTGCCGTTGGGCGCGGTCGAAGAGATCAGCGCCGTGGTCAGGTACAGCGTGCCCTTGTGGAAGCGCAGGGTCGAGGCGTAGATCCCCTCGGACTGGCCGGTGGCGTTGAGCAGGAACGGCGCCTGGGACGGGCGGGACAGTGCGTGGCTGACGAGCTTCCAGTGGATGAGGTCCTTGCTGGCGTAGATGGGGATCCCCGGGAAGGCGAGGAAGGTCGACGTCGTGCAGAAGAAAGTCTCATCCCAGGCGGCGATGAAGGCGCAGCTCGGGTCGGAATGCCATCCGGGGAGGATCGGGTTGGTGTAGGTGTAGTTGGTCTGGCAGGTTGCAGTAACGAGGGGGATTAGTAGCGCATTCACTAGATAGATTAGAAACTGCATTCTGTCATTCTTAGAGGTTAGAGGTTTGAGGTGCCTGATCTGGGGATTGGAGTAGGGCTGCGCTGTTTAAGTATCTGCTGATTTAGCCTGAACTCATGCATGTTGGCAGGGGGTCGACAAGTTGACAGGACAGGCTCTGACGATTCCTGGAGGTCATTTAGGCTCAATTGCGAGACCTGTGAACAATCGTCGTCTCTCACAAATGCTACATACAGGATATGCGCCGGACAGACAAGTCGCAGACTTAACCCTCACTAAACATGACCCAGCGCATCTCCTGACCCCACACTCACTCGGGGATTCTGACCACAGCCCTCCCCGTGATAGCATCCTCTTCAAGATCTCGAATCAGTTTCGCTGTCTCATCAAACCCATAACACTGCACCGCAGGCGTGATAGTCCCCTCAGCAGCCAGCCGCAACAGCTCCGCCATCTGCTCCTCCGTCCCCACCGAGCTGCCAACAATCGAGATCCCTACCATCACAAATCAGCTCCCTAATCCCCGAACCGCCATCCTGCCTCCGAGAGAGGAAGAAACATACCTCTAGCCGCACACAGCGTCGCGGAAACCGGCAACTCGAAGTCATTCCTCGGCAGCCCGACACACACCACCGTCCCCAGATTCCTCACCAAGTCGGCCGCCACCCTGAACGCGGCCGGATCCCCCGGCACGACCACCGTGGCCTGCGCCCCCTCCCCGTGTGTGAGCTCCCTCACGCGCGCCACCACATCCTCAGCCCGGAAATCCACAAACGCCGCCGCACCAGCCTCCAGACTCAACCGCCCCTTCTCCTCCCCGGAGTCCACCGCGAGAACCCTCCACTTTTTCACCCGCGCCGCGATCTGCACTCCCAGATGGCCCAGCCCGCCCCCGGACCCCGAAATCACCACTGAGTCTCTAGGCTGTAGCACGCCGTCCAGCCGGTCCAACGCCCCCGCCATCGTCAGTCCCGCGCACAGCAGCGGCGCAGCGACCTCGTCGGCCACGGTCTCTGGAATGGGGGTCAGGAATCGCGCGTCCGCCAGGACGTACTGCTGCAGCGTGCCCGGGACGTGGCGGCTGGTGTTGCGCTGGTGCGGGCAGTAGTGCGGGTGGCCGGAGGTGCAGACGGAGCAGTGCGTGCAGGCGCTGTAGAGCCACTTCACCCCAACGCGGGCGGAGAGTAAGGACCGCGGGGCGAGGGAGCCGGTCTGGATGACGGTGCCGATGCCCTCGTGGCCGATGATCGAGTTGTAATTGCTCCAGCCGGAGGTGGCGCGGATTTCCGAGTGGCTGGAAGCCGTCAGTATCGAGGGCGGTTTTGTGTCTGATCAATCGGGTACGAAACGCAGAGAAGAGAAGTGGGGTGAGGAGAATTACCACAAACCGGTGCATGTCAGCTTGACGAGGACTTCGTGGTCCCCTGGTTGGGGAACGGGGAGGTCATCGCGATGGATGATTCGGTAGTTCGGGCCCGGGTTGAGGACTACGGCGCCTTGTTGAGTGGAAGGGATTGGTGCTGTCATTGTGGGTATTGTCCAAGGAGACTTTCAGTCATGAGTTGTGACAGATGCAGGGACATTACTTTATACGCTGTGAGGGGTGGTGATGGCGGCAACCCCGCCAAGGATGCCGATTCTCACTCCCGAGATCGATCCATAACCGGGGTTTGCCGAAAGTTTATCGCGAGTTGGGCTACGAGCCATTTACTGCATGGAAGAGACGTAACTATACTGCAATATGTTGGTGAGTTGCTGGTGTTGGTGAGTATGGATTGGATATCTATTGTTGGATGTAAGAAGGATGGATGATAGATGCCTGATCGACAAGGCATCGATTCAAATCAGCATTCCCTTAGCGTTTGCTATATACAAGAAGTGTACGCACAGCCCCATGATTGACATGCCCCCATATAAAGGTCTCATCGGCTGGCATACATATTGGTCTATGTACAGATAATTCAGGTAAGCAATAGAGCGAGCAAATTGGATCAAGCGGTCTTGCCAATTGATGGCAGCGACTCAGTATTGTCTCCTCTTCGAATTTATGGTGCGCGTCCGCATCGCTTCCAGCACAGGAAGCTAATTCTTGAGTAGTGTGTATCTGTAATGTCGCTGATGCTCATCAGGATAATACTTCATTATTTGTATCTTCGTTCCGACCGGCGGGATGGCATTGGACCGACTGGACCGGACTGAGGATTCAGCTTGGTAACCTCTTATTCCAAAGCCAGTAGCCTTGTTCAATCCGGCTGTTTCGGTATATCTGTCGGTATTCCCATCCACAGTAAGGTTATCGACAGAGATAGGGAATCGGTTCTGCTCCCCGGCTAGGACATATTCTGGAACACGGGCTCTTTCCTGTGAGAGGTTCATCCGCGGCCATTAGAAATTGCTGTGCTAGTTGACACGTCGTGCAGGTACAGCGCATTCTCCAACTCGACGATATAGCTTTTGCTTCATAAGCAAAGTCTTCTGGAGACTCAACCTCTTCCTCGGTGGCTCTGACATTCTTCGCGTCAAGTATGTAGCCACAGGCTTCCCTTCCGACATTGGACCTCGTAGTATAATGTTGACCGCAGTCTTTTGTATGCGGAGGCTGAAATCACCCCTTTAGGAGCCTTTGCATTCCTCATGGAATTCTCCGTCGGATCAAGCAATATGCGAGCAAGAGATGCAGCAGTAGAATGTAAGATGTCTATTGGCTGCGTAGCAGCACCGATGTAGGAGGCAGAATCTTGCCATGCACGGGATCAGCCGCAATGCAAAGGTGATTGCAGCGCAGTGCTTTCATGCAGGAAAAGGGGACTAAGTAGCACTTCTTCGCCTTCTTTCGTAGTTTCAGCTATGCATATCGATATCGAGCGTGACCGCAGTCTCAAAGGCCCGCCCTGAGCGGGTCTCGGACGCCCGTGGAGGCAAGGATTGGATGTGACTTCTTTCTAGATGACTTTGTCAGCGATCTCCGCGTAACAGCAAGTGTAGCTTGAACAGCACTGACCCTACCTGACGGAAACTCATTGTTGCACATCTATCCAATCAGCTGAGATGGGAAGTTGCTCTGTTTCATCAAAGGTAGGCATCGGTCATTGGAGGAGGCGAAGGTAAAGGAACGAGACGTTGTTGCCCGCGAGGTTGATAGTGGCCATAACGCCTGGCTCAATATCCCAGGCTGGAAGTCTAGTCTGGCTGCGTTTATTGGTCGACGATATGAAAATGCTGTTGGATTTACTAGAGGTGGATTAGCCTTCAACTCTAGAAGGTTTATTTTTGGAGCTTCGATCTCCTATCTCCTCTATCAAGCGACGAATGGAGGCCACCGTGTATCTATCAGAGGCGCTGGATGACTCAGATCAAGGATATCGACCGGACTCCAGCCAGGCACGAGTCCGGTGGTGATGAGGAGAGTTGGCTTGTGCCATGAGTGGCTATGTCTTAGCCAATGTTTTGGTTGTGATATTGGATTTTGATTGTTCTAGAAATGAGTGACCGACCATAATAGACGGAGTTGACGATGCTGCAAGCGGCGACTTCCAAATTGCGATTCAATAGAATGATATTCGCATATCTTCTAAGAACCTATACGCAAATGATGTAGATGAATGTCCACTCATAACTGGAGTTGTGATCCGCAAACAGCAGCAGCGAGATAGCACTTCCTTGGCCTTCATTAAGCACGGCTGTTTTCGAGTCAGGTCACAGTGAAGCAAAAGAAACCCCTGTGGAGGACGAGTCTTCCTTACCTATAGGCAAAGTCTTGATAATATCCAGATTTGCCCCTTCTTTTGGCCTCCACAACGGTCAGGTATGTCTAGTAGTTATTCGCACATATTCAGAAACCACGTAAACAGGAGACGGCTTGAGATATCAGCTTCAGACTATTGGTCAAGTAGGCTGGCACCAGGCTGAAACACCGCATGAGCGAGCTCTAAATCTGCTGGCTCATAATTTTGCTCTGCTGGAGGCAATGTGTGGTTGAGGAACAAGAGATATCCCCAAAGGAGTGGAAACTGAAACAAGTCAAGAACCCTTGGGTGGCTGGGTATTACTATCTGGATATTGACAGAGATAAACTCAGCTATTTTGATGATGAAGATGGTGATGACAGATTCGGACTGAGCGGTCGAGGAGCGAGGAATTGAAAGAAGAGTGGGAAGGAGAAGACTGACAGGGACAAGTTTGGCTCTTATGAAGAGGGAGATACAATAGATGAGTTTGATACAGGCTACTATATTCACACCTCGAGACCTTTGACCTTCACAAGAACACACACAGCCTAAACTTGCCAATCATCACATGGGTTAAGTGAATGGTCTTGACATATGTAGAATCGGAACCTGCCTGCCGCCTATTCACTGCGGCTTGTAGGCCCAGCAGATGAAAAAAATGAGTATAGAAACTTGGGAACAGCACCCTGCGGGCAAAGACGGGAGAAGAGTTCCATTGTGTATTATTGATTCGTAAGTCTATCGGAAATTTGCTCTCTAACACAAAGCGTCCCCATCATGAGACGTCAGTCAACCGAAAAGTTCCCTACAGCCTTTGTAGTATTGCAAAAGGCAAGTACCTGTATGTCATGTTTCATACACAATGACGGAAATCTCCCCGCAAACCATAGTGCCTTCACTCCGCAGTCTGAGAACATTAAGCTCCATAAATACACCCACGCTCCTCTACTCTTCTATGGCCCAACAACAACCACAACTCATCTGACACCCACAAGCAACCCACCAACCCGACCAAGCAACCAGCCAACCAACAAACCCAAGGTACGCAAGATGACCACCCCACAAGACCTCCAGGAGGCACACGCCTTCTGGCGAGACACTGAGCCCCCAAGCTGCCGCATGAAAATCCTCTCCATCATCGAGGACATCCCCTAAGCCACGGACCCGCAACTTTTAGAGAACCCCCGCATCCGCAACTTCATCTACGTCTGGATGAAGCTGGCGCGCGCCGACCCGCTTTCGCCGGCGCGCCTGTACGGGATCATCATCTGCGGTGACCAAGTGCGGCTGTAAACCGAGTTTCCCCGGGGCCACGAGTACCACGAGACGGGGATGCTGCAGTTCCAGCACCAGGGACGCGAGGTGTTCTCCTCGCGCCGGGACGAGGCGGTGTTCCGTGAGTTCATGGACGTGGTGCAGGCACTGCGGTACGAGGACATGGAGCGCGGGCAGGTCGATCGGGCGTACGCGAAGATCCGCAGCGGGGAGCTGCCACCCCCCGGAGGAGCGGGCAACACCGGAAAATCGAGGGCCCTGGACGGTCCATAGCATCCACAACCCGCCGGAGGTGGACGAGGAGCAGGTCGCGACTGTGTCTCTAAGCGATCTGGACGATTCCCCTGTGATGTGGAAGGTGCATGTCACTGACCGGAGGAAGGTGATGTGGGGTCCGCAGCGCGCGAGACGCTGAGGAAGGGTTTGCTCTGCAGCCTTCCGGTGAGGTATAATGTTCTCCAAAGAAATCATATCTAAATTGACGGAGGTTCTTCTCCGTCTTCTCTATTTGTTGCTTGGTACTATGGCACTGTTGTTGTATCTTGATGTATCTTCGTTAGCAGAATAGGTCAATCCTGCTCTCCTTCTACCGCACAGCCCCTTGTTTGGGCACGGCAGTTAGGGCATCCGCTTCCCATCACTGCCCTCTCCTAGTATCAATCCAGTTAACCTTCAATCCATTTTCTCCATCCTTGAAAACCGGCACACGCTCAGATTCCCGTCAACGACTAAACAGCAGCAACCAGCTCAATTTCAACCTCCGCATCCAGTGGAAGACTGGCCACGCCCACACAGGTACGGCACTAAGACCCCCAACGTTAGCCTCTAGCTTATACAGCAACCCGACCACAACAATGAAATCGAGAGGAAAAGCTCACCGGCTTGACATCATACTCCCCAAGAACCCTGGCATACCCGTCGTTGACCTTGGCATAATGCGCCATACTGGAGATGAAGATCGTGACCTTGACGACCTTGCTCAGGTCGCTCCCGCCGGCGATGAGAACCTGTTCCAGATTGCGCAGGGCTTGGACCTGCGTTACGTGTGGTGCATTAGACACACATGATCACATGATCAAGTCATTGTGCCAGGCAGAAAACTCACGGTCCTGTCAGCCACGTCGCCTGGGACAAAAGTGCTGGTCTTGGGGTCGATGCCTAGACTGCCGGAGCAATAGAGCATGCCGTTGGAGATGATGCCCTGCGACATCAACGGGCTCGGGGCGGGAGCGTCATGGCTTAGAACGGGGAGTTTGGCGGGGGGCATGGTTGAGGTGTAGGTGCGATCGATTCAGACCGGAGTTGGAGACAATTCGGAGGACAGACGTCTATTTGAGGCTCGCTGAGGCTATTATTTATATGGGAGGCGGGCGGGGAGTGGGCGTGGGATGAGTTTCCTCCTGGTGGATTGTGGATTTGGATGATAGCGGACTGCAGCGTGAAGGCAAGTAAGTCATCCCGGATGCGGGCAAGCCTGCCCTATCCAAGTCTTATCCATTCGCTGTCCTAGCAAAACCACATCCTCTCCGGTTGATGATAAACTCGGGCTTCTCTTAGGCCATGTCTAGGGTGCGTTTGGGGCCTCCAGTACCGACGGGGAATAAATACTGGCGGGCTGCGACCGGCGTGGTTCATTGTTTGCGGGAGTGTTGCGGCATAGGATTGTAGAGATGTCGATCCCACTCACACCAAAGGTCATGATAAATCAACCCTATCTCTTGCAGCGCCGATCGATAGAAGAAGAGGCCGTTATCGATGTCACTGGTTGCAGAAACATCATGGACCGGTGGCATGGCGGCCGGGCTCTAGGAAGGAGATGGCAAGACCTTTCCGCATAACCGCTGTCAGCTTCATCCTCATCGATAGTCCTGTCAGGCCAGTCTGGTCTTAAAAAAGCTTGAATGGATGAGTTTCGCAAACAATGACACCTCCAGAAGCTACACTATGCGATCGGTGCAATTTGCTCTCAGCCAACGCAACACCTCTAGGACCGGTAGGCGTTTCATGATACCACCAGGCCAGCAGTACTTTAGTCAAATTGGAGAAGTCCCAGCCATATTGCGATCGATCTCACTGCTCGTGATAAGGTCGGGACCTTCGTACCTTCGTCTTCGAAATGAAGGGATTGCCTCCGACACTGACCGGAGCCAACCGGGCCTGAGCTGTAGAGTAAGCAGGCTCCTTCGCAGTCTGAATAGGGTTCCATTTAAGATGGAATACCCTGGCTCCCTGGCGGCAAAAGCTTTCATCCCCGAAGCACTGAAGCGCCGACCTCCGTCTTGCACTGGCTTAGCCCGGACTCTGCTGCAATACAATCTTATTCTCCCGATCCTCGACACATCCTCGACACAGTCATTGGCCCGATAGGTGAACCGGCGCTGGATTATAAATCATGCACGTTATCTCCAGGCCGTGCCTGCAATCTGCAATCCCGACGGCCGATGATGATAGCCGGATTAGCCCGCCGACAAGTCAGGACTCAGAACAATTCACTCTCGGACGCAATGTCCTTGTTGGACAGTATCAGACCCAGGCGCACTTGGACGTAAGGTCTAAAGCCGATTTGAATTTCCCCCGAAGTCTGGGGGATTTGCGTCACTGCGCAGGCCGATCGAGCATCATGGGCTGTCATGAGATGGAGGAGTACGTGGACATGGAGAGAATTGTCAGGAAATGTCAAGAAATGTCATCACCACCGCGGGATGGCCTCTAGGCAACCACCAGTCGCAGGCATGGGATTGGAAGAAGGACCTTTGGGGCTGGAGGAAAGAGGGTCTGTCTTCGTACACCCAGTGAATGGACGGAGACCGGGCCGAGGTGGGATTGTGGATAGTGACTGGCCTCTTTTTTTTTTTTTTTTTTTTTTTTTTTTTTTTATTTTAGAACAAGAGAATGGGGAAAAAGGGATTTTCTGGATCGGTCTTATTTGATTATCTTTTAAATCTATCTTGTTTTTTTTAGCTGCGTGGGGCGTGTCGGAGATCGGAGTTGTCTGCTTCTTTCATCACCGACTCACCCACTATCTCCAACCTTTTCTAACGCGTTTCGAGGTTTTCGACCCTGAATAATCCCGACGGTTTCCCGCAAACGGGCTCCCACCGATGCGGGTCGGAGCGCAAATCCCTTCCTCTCTAGTGGACTAGTGGGTTTGGGCCAGCCAGGCCCCTGCCATAATATCACTTCTTGCTCTGTAATGGTGTTATCTGATCTTGCCCTCGGTTTGCCCAGCCTTGAAAGTGGAGCGTTTGGGCAGAAGAGAAGAAAAAGAGAAAGAGAAACGTCATCACCGTGGCTGGCGCTGAAGTAATATCTCTCGGTGAGTGAGACCCCTGATGAGACTCCTGATATTACACATGATGCACATGATGCACATGGTGACACTGCTAGCCAAGCCTCGCTTCGAGGGCTCCTATCTCACTCTCGACTGATTTCAGGCATGTGTGAGCATTAAGCGATCTCACGACGGCAATGCCAGATTGCCCATATATTAATACGAGCTGTTATCGTGACTGCCAAGGGCCAACCAAGGCCCAACCAAGGGCCAGCCGAGGGCCAGCCAAGAAGGGCGATGCCCTGCCAAGTCGGCGATAGAAGGACGATCGTCATCCGCAACACACAAACCAAGAAATCCTGCCCCGGATCCATGTCGATCTTGATCTTTGACAGTGGAGAGAAGGTCGGGGGTCGGAGGGAAACCTTTCATGCCAAGCATGCACGTTCAGCATCGCCTTCGTGCACTGGCGGATGAATCCTAATCCTGCAATTCGAATGCGCCGCCTTTGATGGGCTGTCTCGTCGCTTAGCAATATGGGCTAAGCCATCAGCTCGAGCCGAAAATTCATTTGAAGCCAGTGCAAAACACCCCCGTCCCAACGGCCACCGCTATATAAGGACTGGGTTCGTCTTCTCCTGGATACTCCTGACGATCTCTGCAACTCATCCCTTTCCCCCTTCTCTTCTCACTGCAAGGACAAAATGCGCCTTCCCAGTGCCGTTGCATTGACAGCCCTGGTGGCTGGCTCAGCCGCCGCCTCTGGCTGTCCCTATGCAGCACGCGCCAACGATGAGGCGGCTGCTGCTGCTGCTCCTGTTGGGTGTCCCTATGCCAGACGAGCTGCTGCCGCTGCCGCTGCCGCTCAGGTCAAGGAGACTCCCGTTGAGACTCAAAGTGGAGCCATCGAAGGCAAGAAGGGTATCTTCTACTGTAAGTGCAGCTGACAGTTCATTCTCCCCGTGAACTGAGCCAGGCCGCTAATCCAAGCTACCAGTGAACCGTATCGGACCTTCGGGTTCGCAGCTCTGGATCGCCAATGCGGACGGTACCAACGCAACCAAGCTTCTAGGCAACCAGACACACGCCTTCGACTACCACCCAACTTGGTCCCAGGATGGTCAATGGATTGTCTTCACCAGCGAGCGTCGCGGTGCGGGTCAGTCGGACCTGTACCGGGTGCACCCTGACGGCACTGAGCTCGAGGCCCTCGTGACGACGGACAGTGCGGAGGACATTGGTGTTCTATCCCCCAATGGCAAGCAGCTGGCCTATGTCTCGACGCAGGGCAACTACACCATGAACGTCTGGGTCAAGGATCTCCAGACGGGCATTGCACAGAACCTGACCGATACCGCTCTGACGCGGGCGGACAACACGTATCCCACTGGTCACTTCCGGCCCTCGTGGTCTCCCAACAGCGAGTGGCTGGTCTTCAGCTCGGACCGCAACACTGACTGGACCGGTCACAGCGAGGGTGTGGGATGGGAACACACCCAGAGCCTGGGCCTGTACGTGATCCGGCCGGACGGTACGGGTCTGCGGACGCTGGTGCGCCAGGATGGCTACTCCTTCGGTACTCCGCAGTGGTCGCGCGATGGAAAGCGCATCATCTACAACAACATGACCCGTGAGGATACCTACGGCTCGCACGGTGTCTCCCAGCAGCAAGCCGCCGTCTCCTCTCAAATCTACAGCGTGGACTTTGCCACGGGCACTGACATTCAGGCCCACACCTCTGGCAGCTACCCCAAGGTTGGCCAGCACTACATCGGCAGTTCCTCCAACATTGGATACCTGGTCAAGGCCGGGCCCTACGAGGGAATCAACTACACCACCCCCGATAAGACTCACAAGGCGTTCAACTCGACGAACATCCGCGATCCCTGGTGGTCCCCCGACGGATCCAAGATCGTCTATCAGACCTGGAACTGGGCTCAGCAGGCCGCCGGTCTGAAGCTCTGGAGCTTCGACGACGACTGGGAGTACCGCTACATGGACGTCTTCCCCATGCACCACCCCTCGACCAACCGTCTGGCCTCCACCCAGAAAGTGCTGGGCAGCGCCAACGGCTCGCTGGTGACCTCCACTCCGCTGTACGCCGACGTGCACGAGGCCCTCGACTCGTACTCCGTCTACAGCGTCAACAACGCCACGCAGGCCGAGTACCTGGCTGAAGGCCAAGCCGGTGCCTTCCAGCCCTCCTGGAGCCCCGATGGTGATGAGTTGGTCGTCGGCTTCGGCGCCTGGTTCACCTCACGCGCGACCAACAATGCGACTTTGTTCCGTACCTTCACCAATGGTACCTCCCACACCAACCTGACCGACGGCTCCTTCAACGCAGGCTTCCCCTCTTGGTCTCCCGATGGATCGGCCATGGTCTACCGCAAGTGGAGCCTCGAAACCGCCGCCCCCGAGGGTCTGCACATCCTCAACTTCACCACCGGCGAGACCCGCCAGCTCACTTTGGGCTGGGACAACACCCCCGGCTGGTCTCCGGATGGTGAGCGCATTGTCTTCACCCGCAACAACAACTGGACGAGCTCCTATGGCGCGCGGTGGTACGCCGACCGCTTCGATATCTACACCATCCGGCCGGATGGCTCCGAGCTCACTCGCGTGACGGACAGTCTGTCGAACGATGCTCAGTAAGTACCCCGCTCGTCTCAAAAAGCCCCTCCCGAGACGCAATGCTAACGTGATGACCTTTTAGTGCCGTCTGGTCCCAGGATGGTCGCATCATGTGGAGTACCGGCATGTACGGCTTCAAGGACGAGAGCGCCCTGTTCGACGACACCTTCCAGCCCTACGGCCAGATCATGGTCATGAACTACGATGGATCGAACAAGACCCTCGTCACGGATACGATTTGGGAGGACTCTATGCCGCTGTACATGCCGAACGAGTATCTTGAGTAGACATCTCGGTCTGCCGTGTGTATAGATTTCGATTATGTTTGTTAGTTTTGCAGAATAAATTCATTACAAGATCTCTTGACCTGGAGTCTGATTGGTAAAGGCGATGCCTGAAGGTCGCTAACTTAAATTCCTGAGTGATTGTGGGCGCTCAGGGTGAATATGCCACAGCTTTGTTTGGTGGTGGTTGACGATGAATACATGCCTTATTCACAGGTTGAGGTGGATTCACTTCTCGTCGGGTTGTATTGACTGTCTGCGTAGATTTATCTCTCTCTATGTCCCCTACGTCTTACGAGTACTCCTTGTTGGTATTCCGTGCCAAAGGAGAACATACGGCATCACGTGTATAAGGTAAGTGAGTGTGTGTTCCTGCATTGAGATGACGTGAGGATGAGGCTTTTCCGCGATTGGGGAGGAAGGACGCTCCGCATGACTTCACATCAACTCAACTTCTCACAGCCTCGACTTTCTTGACCTTTTCTTGTTCACCAACTCGTACAACCCCAATTTGTCCCCCTCCAGTACTACAGCATCCTTTGCAATCCTGTTGTCATCAACCATGTCTTCCTGGCTTACAGCTATTCAAACCTTGTGGCAAAGCCTCCCACCGAATACCACCAATTATGTTATTCATGCCTTTCTTTGCGCTCTCAGTTTTGTTCTTGTGACTGTTTTTGTCGATTTGAATGATGACGGTGACCTGAAATCACAGCGTGAGAAGATCCTGTCGAGCTCTGGGACCTGTACTCCGGGGCAAGCGAGTCGAATTCGCCCGAGCTAGAAGAGTCGAAGTCGCTCAAAATCCAGATGATCCCTTGGAACCTCACTGGGCGTACGAATGTCGACATCTCCCCAGCGCTGAATCCAGCCCCGTACTTCAAGCCCCTATCGCATGAATACATCCAGGAGCACCCTGTGAATCTCTCCATCCCGGAAAACTGCGAGATGATGGAAACCACGGCACGTCTCCTCTGGCCTGATGACAGTTGCAGCACAAGCAGGTATGAGCCGATACCGTCCGACGGAAAAGCCCAGATCCTCTCCCATCGCCTGACGGGAGATTTGGAGGCTCCAAGAATGAATTTCCCACCTCACCTGTCCAAGTTGAAGATGGGCACCAAATGGCGCTGGGATACGTAAGTCTTAGGCCCCACGCAAGTTATTTTTCTGACTAGACGACCTATTTCCTCGCGGTCAGTGACTTCCACCTTGGACCGGCTTTTGATCGCGAGGCCTCCGGGCGTGCAGATGGATACAACTGGGGAATAGACACATTCTGGGCTTGCGCCAACAGCCCAACCTTCCCTCACATCAAAGTGGTCACATACCATGATGATATCGAGCACCCAGAGAGACTCTTGAAGGCAGAGCTGATGGTCCTCGCTGCCACGATGAACTCGCGGCTGGGAATGGAGACCCTGACAGACCATGCCATTGTGCCTGTAGGTCCAGGTGACTCTTTCCTCCACGACTTTTGCGCCCTTTACATATCTGACCGAGTCGCTGCTGACGTTTCTTGCCGCTAATCTCTAGACCATGCTCTTCTCGTTCATCGGAACCAGCGTGAGGATCCTGATCGCCATCCACGACGGAAGCTGTCTGCGCATCTCGAAATCAGACATGATGCCATACTCGGAGGAATCCGACGAGCTCTGGAGTCTCCTCATGCGATACCTTGCCGGAGGCATCAATGGAGAGCCGAGCACTCACAAGCTACCTTCGGTGAACGCAGCAGAAAAGTGAATCTGCATTCGTTGGAGTTTCACGGTCAGGCAGGTCGGAACAAGACCTCTCAGAGCAAGCCTGCTACTTTGCTACCTACCTGGCGCATATCCTTCCTTTGATATGGTATTCTAATTGCTATCTGTCGGCGGCCCTGAGGCCTCGGCAGCCAGGCTGACCACCGCCCGCCACGTCTGTGGATAGTTCCGCTCAGATAATCTCACGTAGTCTGAATTCAACCATCTACACACGCCCTTGACACGGTCTGTTCAGGACTTCCAAGCTAGAACGTAGATCCCACCTCAGGCATCCTCCTTCTCGCCTCTCCTCCCCTCCCCACCTAACAACATCCCCTCCTCACTACTCGCCACGCTCGCAATCTGCCACCGGCGAATCACATCCCCCTTCCACATCAACAGCCCGACAAACAGGAAGGAAAAGACCGCAAAGAAGGCCATCATCCCATACACCCAGCCCACGCCCACCGCCTCCACCCACGGATCGATGTAGAAGCTGATGGTCAGCCCATACACGATCCGATACGCGCCCACCACGATCCCGGCCTCGGCCGGGTACCGCGTGAAGCACTCCACCACGTAGTTCACCGTGACGGGCACGCTCGCCAGCGACCCCACCGTCACGATGAACACCGCCAGCGCCAGCACCATGTAGTGCAGGTGGTACTGCAGGGTGGCGCCGAAAAGGCCCAGGCCGATCGGGTTGAGCACCAGACTGGGGAGCCACAGGACGTGCAGCCGGTACTCGGGCTTCCAGATGCCCTGCGGGGACCGGCGCCGGGCGAGCAGCAGCGGCAGCCGGTCGGCGTAGTGGTGGCCCCCCAGCTGCACGAGCAGGATCCCGATCCAGTGGCAGAAGGTAAACGCGGCGTTCTGGCGGAGGGTGAAGCCGTACCCCCCCTCGGCCGGGGCGCGCTGCAGCCACACGGGCACGAGCGCGTTCATGCCGACGTAGAAGCCGAAGGAGATCAGGGTGAAGGTGCCCATGATCAGGGTGACGGGGCAGAGGCCGATGAGCACGGGGGCCACCGCGATCTTGGCGGTGGTCGACCAGGGGGTCGGGGGCATGAGGGCCTGGCCGAAGAGGAAGGTGGCTCGGCGGTTGGCCAGCCAGCTGGCTGGGGGGGTGCGATTGCGTTCGGGGTGCTCGCGGTCGTAGGCGGTCTCTTCGAGGACGAGCACGATCAGGATGGCGGTGGCGCCCAGGAGGCCCACGGTCCACCAGAATTCGACGGGGAAGAAGGTCCCTGCCGAGATGAAGGCCGAGAAGGTTGGGCCCGCGATCGTGCCGAAGAGGAAGGCCATGTGCAGCGCCGTGAAGGCGCGTCCGCGCTGGTGCAGGAACAGCAGGTCGGTGATCATCCGTGGTCCGATCACGGTGGGCACCGCCCCGAAGAACCCGGCGAACAGGCGCGACATCACGTACGCGATGTACTCGTCCGAGTGGGTCATCACGGCCGCCCAGATCTGGCAGACCAGGGTGCACACAATGCTCCAGAAGATCACGGAGCTGCGGCCGAGTCGGTGGGCGAAGGGCGCCACGAAGAAGGGCCCAAAGGCCATCCCGGCTAGGGCTGCCGAGTTCTGCGGGTTTGTATTAGAGCAGGCACCACATTTCGGGGTCTTGAAGACGAGGAACGCACCGCATACGACTCTTGAACCTTGGTTTTGCCATAGATCTGAGCCTGTTGGACCAGATTCAACTGGCCAGAGAGCGGGGCAATGGCCCCCGAGAATGAAGCCAGACAGAGCACGGCCAGAATCAGGTACTTGCGTCGATGTGGCCAATTCTGGGGTAAGACAATTGCCAAGTCAGTTAAGGGTCACCATCGTCAGCAATTAGAGGGGATGATAGGACCCATGTCTCACTTACCAGTGGATCCTGGGGGCTGTGGCTGGGCTCAGGCACCAACACAATGCTATGGTGAGGGCGTTTTCCTGACTCCATGTCGACCATTGTGCTCGCACAATCCAAGGGCAAAATGACGACTTCGGCCACGTTTCAGTGAACTGACGAGAATTTCAATCTTTGCGCCCGGCAGCGCAACCCCTGACTGACCCCGTCGATCCTTTCCTGGACGCGTCAGCCCCTCGGCTGTGGCGTGTGGCGCTCCGGGTAATTAAAGCCGATCTCGGACATACTCATAATGGCCCTGATTCTCGTGAGGCTGGACCACAAGATATGAATCTGAACATGAGACTCTCTACCTGAGGGCTTGAATATCGTACGGGTAATTGGTGAAGTCTGCTCGCTAACCATGCAGCTCTTCAAGACGTGAGAACTACGAATCGGGACACCACTGGGTCATCTGAAACTACTTGTTAAAGGACCAAAGGGCCTAGAATCAAGATTGACACCGTAAATCTCTAGAAGTGATTCCTATAGCTGCGATTGGTGGATAATGAACATGGCCCATGCACACGCTCTCGTCTTATGGGCCAAGTAGGGCTCGGCTTCCATGCGTATGCACGGACCACTACGGATATGCTGCATCTTTCCATAGCAGTGGAAGCCGAAGAGGAGAGGTTAGAGGAGTCAAGAGACACCTTTCACATAGGCTTGACTGCCCCTTTGAGTTGAGATAGAGACATTCATCTTCCTCCACTCACTATCCTTGCAGTCTTAACAGTGACCCAGTCTGCATCACCTACTCAACCCCGGCCCTATCATTCTCGACACCGCTCGCAATGGTCCAATTGAACCCTACAAAGGCGACTACTATCTCTGGAAATACGTCCCCAACCTCGGTGCCGCTGTGGTCTTCCTCCTCATCTTCGCCGTCTTGACAGCCATGCACACCTACCGTCTCATCAAGACGCGGACCTGGTTCTGTCTCCCGTTTGCCGCAGGCGGCATCTGTATGTCCCCCTAGCCCCTGCCATCCCCCCGCCGACTTCGTCCAACACGCACGCTCACCAAGCCCACCCTCAAGTTGAACTCTACGGCTACGGCGGCCGCATCGGCGCCCACAAGAACACCGCCTCCCTATTTTCCTACGCCCTCGCCAACGACGGCCTCCTCCTGGCACCCGCCCTCTTCGCCGCCTCGGTCTACGTGACCCTGGGCCGGGTGATACGCGCCCTGCACGCCCAGAAGCTCTCCCACCTGCCGCTGATCTGGGTCACCCGGGCGTTCGTGATCGGGGACGTCCTCTCGTTTGCGGTGCAGGGCTCCTCGGTGGGTCTCAGCGTGACGGGCCACACGGCCGGCGCAAAAGCCGTGGTGCTGCTGGGGTTGTTCATCCAGCTCCTCTCGTTCGGCATCTTCGGGGCCACTGCGGTGGTGTTCTACCGGCGCATCTTGGCGGTCCCCACGCCGCAGTGCTTCAATCCACTTCTCCCCAGGCGAGAGATCTTATATGAGGAAGAGGGTCGTAAGGCTGGCTTGGATGATGGTTTCGAGAGATGTGGCGGATCCCTCGTGGTGCTGGGCGAGGGAATCGAAGACGACGGTGGTGAAGTGGTGGTAGAGCTCGAGATGGAGCATGGATACTGATACTGATACTGATACCGCTGGAGAGGCATCGTCCTGGGTTAACGAAGCGGAGAATGGGCTGATGCTCGAATCCGTGGTACTCGAAATCTCAGAGATTGTTATGGCCGAGGGAGCGATGACGGGTGGTGGATAGGGCGAGCGCTGTTGGATCCTCAGCTCTCCGGTGGGGAACACGCATTCCCGTGCCGAGTCCCGACATCTCTTACACTGCGGGCGGCTTTCATCGGTTTTGTGATGTTAGGATTCCGGGGTGCTGGTGCTTCCTGGTGTTTACTGTGGCTTACGTACCTTGATGTGACGTCGCCTGCATGCAACACAGCCGTTGCGGGACTTGGTGTGAGCCTTGCGTGGCCGCATTGATAATGACGTCGAATGGTGGAAACCGAAGGGGCTAGGGCCTAACAACAAATAAAAGTAAAAGGTTCAGTGTGCTTGAAGGAAATACATATGTGTATAATTGAGAAAGGAATTCGGCGAGACTGGCCCATGCATACGAACCCTAAGAAGGGGGGGGGGGGGGGGGGTGGAGTGACTGAGTGGTCTGTGCATACGCGTATTCACACACTCCGGTAAAATCCATGGAAACCCCCAAGTGGCGAAAAAGACGAGTTTTAGGATTCAGACCAGGGAAAACAGCTAAGACCAATCATGATTTGATCGTCTATTGGCGCAGGGATCATTTTTCCACATTAACTCGTTATCCTGTGCAATGTTGGTTCCATCTTCGAATTGTTGCCAACGAGCTCAGGCGCCTAGGCCATTATACCCTTCACCTGGAACAATTACCGCCCCTTCAAGTGGACCAAGCGTATCTGTAGTCTCCAAAGCCTGACCGGGAAAAATCATCCATTCCGCCCAGTCCGGTCCGAGCGACTCCCGAATGGATTCGATCAGATACCGTCCGCCATCGCCCAAGAACCAGCGATGGCGATGTGCATGCAGGACGATCCCATAATGCGCCAGCACCGCGAGAGCATCGGGGCTACGGCGCGCGAGAAGATCGATGTACTCCACGGGAACACTGGTCGACCACGCAAGAACCGCCGGAGTGCAGTCTTCCCACGCTCCCGGAAAGGCTGCTGAGGTCATCGCCAGCTGCAGCCCTTCGATCGTGTGTTGATACGTTGCGGTGACGGAGGGACCCAACTTGGCCTGTTGGACGAGTGTCAGCAGGCGACTGCACGCCGGGCCAAGACTCCCATCCGCCTGCAGTAGGGACTCCGCGGTGCCCAGTACTGGCCCCAAGGCTGTGTTCTCCCTCAAAGCGCGCCAACTGCCCCCCAAGACAGTGCGCACACCGCGATGCAAGCGGAGATAATGAACAAAGGAATCGAGGAAGACATCGAAGTCGGTATCGCGGAAGAGAAGGGTTACGCATAGCGTATGGAGGCCAAGGATGGAGGAGAAAAGGAAACGAGGGGTGATGTCCGGGTCGGCTACGCTGTAGAAGGCTCGCAAGGCATGGATCTGTAACTTAGTAGCATGATCCCGGTAGACCTTCCGCTGGGCAGGACGAATGATACTGATGTGCGTGGCGGCGAGGGCCAAAAGCTCATTTGCGAGGTATGGGACCTGGAAGCAGTACTGGAGAATCTCGCGTGAAGACCAGATCATTTGATAGCTGCTGTTGTCGCAAACAGATGGAAGAGTCTCGGTGAATAGGTGGCAAAGCAGCTCAGCATGAAGCATGTTAACCGGTGGTTCATCAGAGGATGTCCCGCTGGTGAAACTCGTCGGCGATGCCTCTTCTGCTGGGGTTACTGAGAAAGAAGGGGTTTGCCTTCTAGGACTGGCCGGTCGAAAGGATAGAACACGCAGCTCAGCAAACCCGCAAGTTCGTTCTGATATTGTGCACTGCGAGCATATTGGCCGCCTTTCGTCACACTTTCGGACGATTCAGTGTCACTCCAAGGTTGGAAAGTGAAACGATCCGAGAGAAAAGGGGTAAGGTGCGGTACATACCTTTATACGTCGACGTTTACACTCTAAGCAGCCAAATCGTGATTTCTTGTGCTTTCTGCGAGCCATCACATAGAGGATCAAAGCCGTCGGGGTTGCAAATAAGATACCTGTAAACTTTTACGTATATGAGGTTCCAAGAATGCCAGAATTGATCGGCAGAAGGCGGCGGGACTCTGACTAATATTACAGAACAGAAACACGCATACAGTGAATAATCCTCCAGGAGCCCTCTTTTCGGGCATATGAATTCAAGGATCCACCCGTCTAAGCCCCCCTTATTCATCGTCCAAGTTGCTCTGATTCAGCAACTCCATTGCCATATCGGGCTTGGAAAGTAACCCCGGATACCAAAACAGCCAGGCGACCATAGCTAGCCACATTAGAAGAGCGTCGAAAATGTACAGGGTCCACTCGTGGGTGAGGGGATAGCCCGTGCTTCCCATCGTAAATTCGGCCACTCGAAACAAGGAGCGGATCATGATCAGCAGGCTCACCCCATACAAGAGATGAAGGTGATCTCGCCAGTGGAGGCGGGGATCGTGGGCTCCGGGGGTTGGATGCCGCCGTAGACGGATTTGAAACACCATGGCTGTGATGATGAAAAAGACGAACATGAAGACCTGGATGAGCAGGCCCGCCACCACGATGTCCTGGCCGAGTTGTGCATTGCTCCCGGAGGCCATCAATCCCGCGGCGCCCCCTTGAACGAGGAAAGAGACCACATCGCGAAAGTCCTGGTGAGCCAGCGCATTGGGATTAGGGAGTGATGCTCGGCCCCGGTGCTGCGGATGATGCGGCCCAGCACCATGTATACTGACGCTGCAAACAAGACCGGTCCGAGCAGGAGGAAGACGTTCTGAATCGAGTAAGGCATGATACTGCCGGATTCGAAGTGCGCCCACGCCTGGGCAGCGCAGCCGATGACTTCGACTAAAAAGCCCTTCTGTCAGCCTCGGTTCTTAACATCAGGTAATGTGGTGAAAGGGCAACAAGAACTGGGACAATGTGGGGGGGGGCACATACATATTCCGCCGATTGCAAAGGGGATGCAGAAACGAGCCCTCCATTCGACCAATTTGACAAAGTGTAGAACTGTCGCGACCGCGAAGAAGATAGCGAATATTACGGCGGCAGCCAGCGAAGGCAGATATTGCCAGAGATAATATCCATGTTTGTAGGGCTCGAGCTTAGCCATCTAGCATGGACTTGGGCTAGGTTCGACAAGTTCACGTTGTGTTATGATGTGTCGAAGTTGGAATCACTGGGACCAGAAGAAAGCCCATGATTTTAACCAATTTTTAATCTATCCTACGTAGAAGGTTGTTGGGAGATCGACTCAATTCTAAGGGATCAAGCGAGATGGGGTCCGCTTTAAAGGGTGGAAGTGTGGGCGTGTGAAAGAGTGGTGGGAGCTTCCGCTGTGACTGCGAGCTCTAAACGCGTATAGAGCATCATACTTCACAGTACAAGATGAAAACTGGTCTGTGCAAGCGCGTATAGACGTATAGACTTATTCTACTCACTGTTCTCTACCTGTGAATTGTGGATTGACTTGTTGGATCTCCAATGTCCGATATCCGAAATGGTGTGTCTGTGCATACGCGTATCGCATTAATTGCCCGATGCGGCAAGGTCGGGAGGGTCCGACTCCATACTCCATAACATACCAGTTATTGATTCATTTGATTCATCAAATATATGCAGACAGTACGCCTGGTTGATCTCATCTTTCATTTTCCTTTAGCATCACCCCACCTTCGTTTACAACCTTCCAACGCGAACCATGCGTCTCATGGCTGTTGGAGGAGGAATCATTCCCATCTCGTTGGGATTGATCTCATCCGGTCTCGCATCTGTCGCATCGACCTGCTTCGAACCACCCACACCAGAGCCCATCGAAGTGGTCCAACTGCCACTGCCACCTGTTGCGCCAACCGACGAGATTGGTGCCTGTACTCACCATCTGAATCCGCACGGGACCGGATGTATGGGCAAATCATCCCTGATGAATGGCGGGGACTTCTCGCCGGACGGGAACCACGTCCTCGTCAGCTTGAATTTCACCGGGGCACCGTCAGCCCCAGACCCCGCCAGTATCTACACTGGCGTGCAACTGATCCTGGTCAGCACCAACGGGACCAGTTTCTCTACTGGGAGCCCGTGGAAATGCCTGACGTGCGGTGTCCCGGAGAGCAATAAAGGGAGCAGTTCGTCGCTGGCCGACTATCCGCAAGCCTTCTCCGACGGCAAACGAGCCCTAGCCGGCAACAACATCGTCGAATGTCGATCTGGCCTGCTGGCCAGTGATGCTTGCACTCCGGACCAGATCCACATCTATCCCATCCGGTTAAGCAACACGGCCGACGATTCCGGGTCTGGAGCCATTATCCGGGAGCTGCGCTTGCACCCCGACAATGTCCACCTGGGTTTCAACTCTTTCTCCGTCACCGGATCGGGTCAGCTCAGCCAACACGCCTATTTCGGTCGACTGCAGTTCAGCGACTCCCCTGCCACCGATTCCCCTCGCCCCGCACGATATGACCTCGTCAACGTAACCGTCCTGGTTGCACCGAATGGTCCCCTTCCTTATACCGTCGCCGGTGATCAGCTGCAGATCAACCGCCAGGCATTAGTGGTGGGGGAGTTTCGGGGCTTTGCCAGTCGCGGACAAGAAGTCCTGTACATTGGATTCCCCTGGGAATCCTGCAACATCGATCTCTTCGCGGCCGACTTGACTACTGGCCGGGTGCGCCGGGTGACAACGCACCCAGGCTATGTGGACCCGGTGGGGGTCTCTCCGGATGGCCGCTGGCAGGTGATCCTGGACACGCGTGGCACCGATCGGATGGAGTTTCTGTCTGCCATGCGCGGGGTCCCTCCTGTGGTCGACCTGCTGACAGTCACTACGGTCGCATCGGTGCGCAACAATGGCGATCGACGATTCTTCCAGCCGTGGCTGCTGGACGCCCAGGGAGACCGCGATGGTCCTGACTACCACTACTACGGCCAACAAATCAACGCTGGCGGGGACGGCCAGCCGGGCAGCATCAACGACCCTAACTGGAACGCCGGCGCTGATCCCCGCTGGTCTCCGGATGGCACGCGCATCATGTACTGGCAGAAGATGGTCGTGCCCCCTGCCTGTGGAGGGATCAATCCCCTACCATGTCCCAAGTCGACGGAGCCAGGCGGCCGAACCTCGCGTCTGATGATGGCGCGACTCACCAGTCGCCAGCCCTACCATCTCGACCCCGTGGAGCCATTCACCGATAGAGTCCCCTGGGGCCTTCCTTACACCCCTGGCCAGAACGTGCCAGAAGTCTTCAACCTATCCCCGGGCAACTATACGCTACACGGGCAAGTCTCGGGCTCAGCGGACGTGATTCTTCGCAACACTACGACTGCGTCGGCGCTTGACTTTGTCGCTGTCACGTACCATAATTACTCCGACGATGGCGTGCATTATATCCAGGGCCACGAGTCGGTGGCCTCCACCTTTTTGTCGGTCACATCGGCCCGGCTGGATTGGTATTCGAACCTGACAGCCACGGGGGCGGGGGCCACATCCAGCACCAAGGTCACTGGACCAGGGGGGTTTCACGTCGTCGACGATGCCATGCTCAATGTGTTCGTGGCCAACGGGACCCTCGCCACGACGGTGGACGGGGTGGTGTACAAGCAGCCTTTGACTGGGACGTGAGATGAACAAATTCAGTCATCGCCCTTGAGTACATACAATCATTTACAATAATGACACTGCTTTGCCGCCCAGCTTCCATCCAATCTATGCACAGCTTTTTTCAAGAGCTGGTCCAAGAAAAATAGAAGAAGAACAAAACATCGCAGAGGGTAGGGATAATACCCCCGACACCGTATTCTCCAACTCCTCTTACTCTACAAACCCGTCATCATCTTCATCTCCCGATCTACACCGACTGCGCCCGTGCCTGCCTCTCCTCCCACTCCCGCTCCAACATCCCAAACACCACATCATCATACCACCTCCCATCGTGCCAGAACGCCTCCCGCCGACGGCCCTCCAACGTGAACCCCAACCGCTCATACAACCGCACCGCCCCCTCATTGTACGCCAGGGCCTGGATCTCCACGCGATGCAGCCCCGCCCGCCGGAACGCCCAGTGCAGCACCCAGTTGATCGCCTCGCTGCCGTACCCCTGCCCGCGGTACCCGCGGGCGATATCGATGGTGATGGAGGTGCCGCGGTGGTGGGCGTAATCCCCGCCCTCGCGGCGGAGGGAGATCACACCGATCGGGGTCCCGGGGGTGGCTGTCTGCGTCTGCGTCTGCATCTTCGGGGTATCCTCTGCAGCATTGGAGGTAAGGGATTCGCCATTCGACGGAGGATGCGGCAGCACGATGATGGCGGCCAGCAGCGCCCGCTCCATCAGGGACTTCTTGTACCCATTGACGGTGTCGCGTTTGGCTTGCGGTTTGGGCAAGGCGGGCGTCGAGTTGGCGTAGGCTTCTGGGTCGGATTGGATGGCGTGCAGGAAGTCTTCGTCTTCCGGGGTGTCTTCCAGGGCGCGGTAGGTGAGGCGGGAGGATTGGAGGTAGGACATTTTTCTTTTGGTTCCGTCTGCTTTGCGCGGAGAATTGGAAGATACGGAGACAGGAACTTGAGTGGGGATCAGGAGATTCTCGTGATTTTGTTGATGCATGGTGCTGTGAGTCACTTTATAGGGTTGGCGAGGGAAGCTGAGGCTATACTGCTTTGGGTCCCCGCCTCGACGGGCTTATCGTATCGTGGACCAAGCGAGCCATCGAGTTGCGGCTTGGGATTCGGGATTCAGGGGTCTTTTCTTAGTGTGGCTAGGCTGAAGAGATGGTCTTCTCACGATAGATCATAAGTTAATCCGACTTGAGTTAGTCATGGCTGGCCGACATTAGTTAAGCCAAGTCCGTCGGACATCCGGCTGGTATTTCCGGGGGCGGGAATCACGGACTTGTGTCGATCATCGATCGGCCTCACCAGATGAAAAGAATAAATATCTCGATATTGCATTCCGGACAATGGGCAGCATTGGGGCTCTATGGCGAACTTCAAACTCACGGATCATGTCTTGCGCGTGCATCAGTGTGCCTCAAGCTTACATGGTGGCAGCTTAGGGCAAGGCCCGAGCCGATCGCCGCTGCACAGCCCCTCCTAACGGACTCGTGTGATGCAGGCCTGATGAAGAAGGACGAGGAATACGAGGTGGCGATAGACGCTATGGCCTCCGCCTCTACAGCCAATCCTCCCAGGCTCACAGGGTTGCAAGTAGAAATTAAACATTAAGTAGAGACCAAAGATATGATACAGCACCGCAGGATCGAGAGGTACAGCTAGCCCATCGAAACATCTCCTTTCACCTGTTCACCATCATCGCTGCCACTTACCTTCACCTGTTGTCGCACAAGCCACAGCTCGTACTTGACCAGGACCCGGCACACCACCGCCGAGGCCACGAACCGCACCACGATGAACAGGGCATCGTTGGGGGAGATAAAAAGCATGCTTGAGAACTGCAGAATCCCCAGCAGCGTGTTGGCCGCGGCGAGTAGCCCCGTGAACCAGGAGATCAGCACATTACCCACCGTGCGGTCCCGCAACTGGACCTCGGTCGCGTCGCTGCTACTGTCCGACGCGGTGAACTGCGCTCGCGCCCACCGAAGCACCCGAGTAGGAAGACTGATGTTACTCGTCCGACCATCACGGAGGTGCACGCGCGTGCGGAGTGCGACGGTCATCAAGAGGTGGGTGGCCACGCCGACGGCGACCCACAGTCCGGGCATCCACTGTAACTGTTGGGCGAAAGAGAAGATGACACGCAGGCAGATCTCGTAGGTGAGGACGAGCACATTGCCCGCCGCCGCCGCGGCGAGGAAGAACTCCAGGACCACGATGGCGAGGTTGTGATGCAACAACAGCGCAGAGGAGTCGGCGGAGAGCCACTCGCGGGAGCCCTTCAGGTCCTGGACGTGCTGGTGGAGGTTGCCCGAGGCATCGACCGCGCTGGCCGGGGAGGCGACCATGAGGAGAAACGAGAGGAGCTGGCGGTCGCCGAAGACGAAGAGCATGGCCGTCTCGTGGGCGCTGGGGCTGATGCTAGCCAGCAGCGTGGGCATCAGTCCCAGCACCACCTGTGCGCTGGCCATCATGGATTTGTAGAGCTCCGGCGTGGCCCGCAGCAGACAGTTGGTCAACGGGGTCACCGCACTGTCAACATGCCAGATCGCAAGCTCGGGGTCATTCGCGGTCAAATTTCCGACCGGTTGGTCTCCGGTCAGGTATGCGTCGTATTGCGCGGAGCAGTTCGTGGTTTTGATTGTGTTGATTGCGCTCCGGTACCTCGGCCACCAGGAGCTGAAGCGTTGCGGTTCGGCTGCGACGCATGTTGATAGGGAGACGAAGAGGATGAGAATCATCCCCACGGTCTGTCGTGGCATCGACATTGTCCGGTCAAGTGGAGCTGTAGCGCAGCATGCGAGTGTATACTAGAAAGCAAATGAAGCCAGAATGCGGAGAATTGAACGGGGTCGACGAAGCATTCTGCAGAACGCCTGAGTGCCCGCTTTCAAGGTATATATACTGGGGAAATGGCGGTAGCAGCTTGCCCCGTGTCTGCATCTTCGTATCATACACCAATCACTTCGTCACGTCAAAGATGGGCGCGGAAGCTCTGATCATGCTCGCGCATGGTGTGCAGGAGGCATCCATATTCTCGATGATCGCCAGCACTGGAAGACAGGTAGGAGTCATGGCAATAGGAGATTTGCATGAAGCCTGACGGCAGCGGTCGTTCACAAAGCAGATCGGTGAGAAATTTCACAGGCATGAACTTTAGACACGATCTTTCTCGGCAGATCAGCGCCGAAACTCCAATTAGGCTTGGGGTTGCTGTGGCTCATGTTGGTGGCTTCCTCAGGCAGCGGGATTAAGAGACGGTGGTATAGCCATCGCGTGCTTGGCCCGGCTGGCACTGCCTCCTCTTCAGCATTATGCAATGCGTATTCAATTCGTACTGCGTATTCCGTACCTGGTTATCTTGACTAAGATGTATAACATCCGATCACTCCAACATTGGGTGGTCTTGGTGCAATACGTGGCTAGGGCCGTTGGCATAGCACAGCCTCCTTTACAGCTTCCCCGCGCTGCTCCCTATTGGTGACAGAAGTCCGTGACGAGCAGGCTGCATGGCTTCTTGGCATCCTTCCAGAAACCACATGGTATGTTGATCGGATTCACAGGCTGATAACAGCGGAAGCAGTGCCTCAATGCTTCGTGATGACGAATTTGCATTGAAGTCTCTTCCCAAGGTCTTCTTGACAAGCGCGCCAAGAGCGCGCTCTGTGTGGCTGTGCTGTCGGAAGCTGCAAGTCATTTAGATGACATGTTGCCCTCCTTTCGACAGAGTTGATGAAGGAAGAAACATGCTACGGGACCGGTGGCCCAGGATTCGAGACCATACAAGACCGGAATTCTTGAATGAAGCTCGGACCACATCGAGTGATCGACCCCTCTGTGAAAGAGCTATCAACGCTTGGTCGGACGCTTAAAATGGCTGACGTTCAATATCTCCAGGGTTCTCTCCTAACGTTATCTCCAACAAAGACACAAACGTATGAGCATAGCTTCTTGTAAGACAACCTGTCGAAGATTCACCTCGTATCTCATAGACTGTACTTCTCCACTCTTACCCAGTCATTTCAAAGAAAACCCAACCATGGAGGCTCGACCAAGTCTACATGATCCGTTTTGATGACTTCTCTTCCCACTAGATATCACATGTCACGCTGGATGACTTCACCAATTGCTCGGTCAAAATAGTTGCCACTATCACCTCATTTTGGAGCCAGCAGTCGAAACCGCGACACTGAACCCCGCATCGAAGGTTCTCCCAGCATCTACAACACGGGCAAGTTGTACAACGTCACAACACTCGAAGCTGCGGTTCTCACCCAGTGGTTCCAACCACGATCCCAAGCAAACCCCGATGCCTTGATTTTGGATCCCGGGGTTGACCAAGAGGGTGTCGATCCGAGTCGTATCATTCCACGGGCTGGTCTAGCCTCCAATACACTCGGTTCCATGGGCTTCTCGGTTCTGTTGGATCATTTGCCACCGAAGCAGCAAACAAGGAGACCGATGTACGCTGGAACCAGGATCCAAGGGTAATAGCGGGCTGGGGTAAGCTACCGAGTAGCACAATCTTCCTACGAGCTCGGTTAGTGCTTCCCGAGCTCCAAGGGATTCCTTGATTTAGGGCTGGTAGGTTCAGGATTGATTCTAGAGCTGTCCATCCGGGTCTTCCTGAGCAGTGACAGCGCCGATCGCACCGGGCTACGCAGCTAAACTGATGCATGATGGAGAAAAGGGACTAAGTTAATAGAGTATAGTCATAGCAATAGCAATACCGTTATAGAATTATAGGATGCAGAAGTGGCCAGAACATAGAATGGCGTCATACCATTACCTCACTTGAAAATGATTGTTGTTGCACCGGAGCACAGGAGAGCTGAAAGGCAGCACGACAACCGGAGGGTCACGTGGTCGGAGTCGAAGCGGCCAGAAGAATCGCGGAGCATCGCAGAGCATGGCGGAACCCACTCGGCCGGTCCGGCCGATTCTCGCAACTTCCAAGGCCACTCCGCTGGCTGCTGGCTGCCTCAGGCACCTTCCAGAGCCATCTAGAGCTGTCGAGTGCACGAGTGCAACACCCATCCATGGATCATCCACCCCTGCAGGTGGCATCATCAACATCCTCAATCATGGCTGTCGAAAGGTATAAAGGCCCCCTTGAGCTCCGGTCAAGTCACTCTTCATCAGATCAGAATCAATCAAGCACTCAACGAGAACAACAACTTCTCTAATCCTCTCCAACTACCACCACTACCACTACAACGCGCTCTTCTACAAACTCTTTTCTACATCTACTACCAACTACTACAACCACCATGTCTCTCTTCCGCAGCATCCCTTCCGCTGGTGAATTCGGCCCTCTCTTCCGTCTCCTGGACGACTATGACCTCCACCGCTCCGGCCAGGGCGCCAGCTCCTCCACCACCACCACCGCCCGCTCTTTCGCGCCTCGCTTCGACGTCCGCGAGACCGCAGAGGGCTACCACCTCGACGGCGAGCTGCCCGGCATTGCCCAGAAGGACGTCGACATTGAGTTCTCCGACCCCCAGACTCTCGTGATCAAGGGTCGCACCGAACGCGAGTACCACAACTTCGACGAGAGCGAGGAGGGCCAGCAGGGCCAGCAGGGCCAGCAGGAGACCACCACCCAGGAGAACAAGGACAAGGATAAGGCCACCGAAAGCACGGAGGTCTCCAAGACCGGCGACAAGCAGGTCGGCAAGAACCACAAGAACAAGCCGCACTTCTGGGTCAGCGAGCGCTCCATCGGCGAGTTCCACCGCACCTTCAGCTTCCCCACCCGCGTCGACCAGGACAGTGTCAAGGCCAGCCTGAAGAACGGCATCCTCTCCATCTTCGTGCCCAAGGCCGCCAAGCCCACTTCCAAGAAGATCACCATTGAGTAAGTGGGGGGGCACCAGATGAGCTGAGCGAGGCGAGGCGAGACGCGACGCGACGCGATGAGAATTTGTGACCGGTTGAAGTTTTAGCATAGCGATCGAATTTGTGGCTTTCACCTTGTTTTGTGTTTTTCTTCTTGAGCTGGTTGATTGAGAAGATGGTTGTGCTTTCATTCCTTCTGATGTCTTCTGTTGAGCACTGGGTGTCATTCCTTACGATACTGTTCGCTAATAGTTAATCCAATCTGTTACCTATTATCTTGTCTTCCTTACTGGTAGACTGTAGCCCTCCCGTGGATGAAGTAAGTTTAAAACAATTGGCCTCGAGTAGGAAGATAATGCCTATACGGTTTCGCACGACCGAGGGTGTATCGCCAGCAGCCAGAGCTAAATTGGCATCATTCTTTGTTCTATGATCCTTGATTACAGATAATCAGGTGTACCTCATCCGCTTCCTCGATGGTCTAACGGTCATGATTTCCGCTTGTCAATCCCGTCCGGGAACAAGCGCGGGAGACCTGGGTTCGACTCCCAGTCGGGGAGATCTCTTTTTGGTTTTTGTTTTTTTGTTTTTCTTTGTAAGTCCTTCTTTTCAGTACATCTTCTTTGCTCTTTTGTGTCAATAATTATGGGAAATTGTCCTCCCATTTTCAACTACCTCTTCTCTAGGTAGGTTCGCATCCCCCGCCAGTATTGCGACCGTTTCCGCCCAGACCATCTGCCGGTTGGACGATACTGTATATATGTGGTTCTGTCCCAACCCTAGCATCTTGCGTCCTGGTCAACTCGCCCTCCTACGCTTGTTACCACATTACTAGGTACTCCAACCTGGGAGGTGATCCTTTCACGCGGTATCGAAACCCACAATGACCATGCGTCAGGCAACCACAAATATGATGCACGGGCTGTAGCGCAGCGGTAGCGCGTTAATCACGTGACCTACATGTTCCGGTCGCAGCGGACCGGCATCGATGCCTGAGGCACCACGTTCGGCACCCAGTACTTTTTTACTGTTGCGCTTGACAGAATATGCTGGTTCTCTAGCACGGAATTAATACCGACCATGCTCTCACTCACCAGACCGATCGAAAGCGTTAGATCCGTATACAAGTAGACGCGGCGCGGCGCAGATCCAGGCCTTAATTGATCTACAGCATCCCCGCATGAATGACTTCGACCAATCTACCTACTACGGTAGTACCCACGTACTACTGGGTCCCCTCACCATAATCAATGCCAGCACATTCTACCAAATACCAAGAACCAGCCGTACAAGCAAGCAAAGCACCAGTAGATTCTAGCCGCAGTATACAATACATCTCCGACATCGCACCAAGTTCATCACCGAGCAAGAACCTCAGCCCTAACGACTGGAGTAGCCAATGCTGGTGGAGCAAGAAAGGTAAAGTCAAACGATCAAAAGCATCAAACCAATCCAGCATAGCAAATCAAATAGGGAATCAACCATTATTTCATCCTAAGCCCGCCCACAGGCGGAATTACCCGTGACATCCACCATTTTCCGTCGAGAAGACTGACGACGAGCCTATGCGCTCAGGGTGCACTTGGAGGCGGCATTGACCCAGCCGGTGAGCCGGTTGGCAACATCGGTGGCGTAGCAGGCGGTGCCGACGCCGACGTTCAGGTTGGAGGCGTCGGAGATGGAGCCCGAGTTGTACAGGCGGGCGGCGCGGTAGAAGCCGGAGACGTCCGTCTTGCCCTGCTGGTCGATCAGGCTGGCGAGTCCGTCGCCGGCGGCGGTTCCGATGGCTGTGTTAGGGGAAGAAATTAGTGTCTGCGCTGAAATGAGATTCGGGGGTTGAAAGGGGGCACTCACCCCCATCGCGAACCATCTGGAGGATCTCGTTCTTCGGGCACGGGTTCTGGACCACCCCGTTGTCGTTGCAAGTGCCGGCGCCGTCATGATCCTGCATGAGGCCCGGGTTGCGGACGCCGTAGTTGGTGGTGTGCACGCGGACGCAGCCCTTGGATTCCTGCATGATGATGGCCAGGATGAACCGGTGGTCGAGGTGGGACTCCTTGGCCACCTGCTGGATCGCGTCGTACAGGTTCTGGGTCTCGTTGGCCGAGTTGTTGGGCACGCCGAACTGGGTGCACGACTCCATGATGGTGGGCTTGTTGGCCTTCCACATGTCGTCGAAGGAGACCCAGCTGGACTGGGCGGGCCAGCCGTCGGCGACGCTGCCGTCTCCGGTGTGGAAGGTGTAGACATCCTGTCCCGCTCCGCTGCCGTCGCTGTCCTTGAGCGCGGTTACGGCCAGGCTGCTGACGCTGACCACGGCATTGGTGGCGCGGGTGGCCAGGTTCTTGGTCCGACTGCCCATGGGGACAGCGGCGGAGAGGCCGACCAGAGTGGCGGCGGCAAGAAGGAAGTTGTTGAACTGCATGTTGATGAAGGTACTGTTTTGGTTATAGGGTTATAGGGTTATGAAAGAATAACAGACAGAATCAAGGATGTGATAGAGAGAGAGAGAGAGAGAGAGAGTGTGTGTGTGTGTAAATGAACGAAGGAATGTGATGGGACTAGTCAATAGTCTCCAAAAGCAACGAATAAGGAATGACGATGTCGTGAACGACTAGAATCTGCAAGCTTGCACTGCAAGTTGACGAGGGAATGAGGATGATGAGAATGAAGATGCATCTTGAGGGGTAGCGGACGAGGTCTTTATACGCCCGTCGTTGTGAAGAAAAAAAAGGCCCATCGTTGCAGGAGGAAGCGAGTCCAACAGGAAAGTCTATTCGCTGCCACAGTGGGCACCAGGGAGTTCGTTCCTGCGGCCCCTGTGCGGTGCCTGTTGGATGTACCTGTGGAGTTGAAAGGCCCAGACACACGCAGGAACTAAGAACTAAAATGCAAAAACGCTCTATCACGTTTGTTGGATGGAGTGGGCAGACTACTTAGTAGGAGAAGGTACGGACTGTGATGGGGACAATGGACTTTTCCCAATGGGAGTTGAACATGTTCTTGTCGGGGGATTTTGTGCTGGAACGCCCCCAGTCAGCACCAATCAGCAGCCATCGGACCCCCCGCACGGATGCAACCGAGGCCGATCTGGAGTTTCCATTGGTTCGTGGCCATCAGCCCGGTTCAGATCCCTGCATCCAATCAGAGCCCTGAACCGGGCGATCCTGGTTAGTGGACTAAGCCTTACTGGGACTAGTCGCCGGAAGTGACACCCGTTTCAGACTGTCGGGTTCAACTTTGAGCCTTCAGCTCCCCTTGTTCTTCCGTCTATTCCCATCTGTTCCCCTCTTTTCTTCAAGGAGTTCAAGGATGTATCCTCGTGTCTGCACTTAACACCTCACCTACCTTCATGGCAAGGTATATTCCAAGATACAGACAAGGAATTTGCCTACCACCAGTGCCCCAGTGCCCCGATGACCTCATGAGTTTTCTCCGGCCAAGTGAGCTGGCTGGTGGGTGGGTCAACCACCGTGCGTTGTAGCTAAGGCAGGATGGGGTCGGTTTCAGGTGTCTTTCTTCGGTGAACCTCGGGGCTCCGGTTTCAGATTCATTCCAATTCCCAACCCACTTCCGAATCAAAGACTCGACCGAGTCGACCTCAAGTCTCTTAGTCATACCCTACCTACTAACTAACTAGCTTGCTTTGTCCAGGGGCCGGATTGGAAGACAAACGTCCGCTCATCCGCCCGCCCGCCCACCGGGCTGTTGGCATCTGCAGTCTGAAGAATGCCCGGTCATGTCATGCATGCATTCAATGAGGTTGTGTTGTGTCTCTCTGCCTCTCTGCTGAAACATGCGACATCTGTTGGCGAACTTGGTGAACTTGGTGAACTCGGTGAACTTGGTGGTCTTCTCCAGTCCCGCAGACTAATGAACATGGTTCCTTGGCTACCTGCCCCTATGATCGCCCCTTTCTCCTGGACCATACTATTCTGATCTCCATAACCAGTTCGCGATGACTTTGAGCATCGGTGGTAACAGTTGGCCATTCCGCCCCCCGCTGTCTTTGCGGCCACTCGGAGAGTGACTCTCCAACACTACACCACCACGTACTCGCCATGTCAGCACAACACGGCCCCCATGAGAAGCTCTCACCCTGCCATCCAGCTGCTGAGGACTCACTACCCCGCGTTGGGTGGCGGAGGGAATCCCACGGCTTGGTTGAGCCATAATACGCTTACTCTCCTGCCTTCTCCGGCCATCTTGGCACCATCCGACTCCTGATTCAGTCACCAAAATAGCGACAGGGGAATGATTCCAGATTGGATCTTTTTTTATACCCTCTGACCCTTTGCAAAGAATCGACCGAGACATTAGCACAATTTTAATCTTGCAGAATAAGGGTCACTGCTCTGCGAGTCATGTTGGCGTTCGGTTTCTGTTGGCAATCTCGCCCGTCAGAACTCGACCAAAATAGCAATACCATTGTAGGTGAAAACAGCCTTCCCATGCTTTACCCTCGCGCTGCATTGACTGATCAACACTGGTTGCAATCAAGGTCTATAGTGACGGGAAAGCTGGGCCACCAATAAGCCCATTCAGCGGGACCACTGGTAATGTACAATGCTGCCATGGGCAATTTACCCCTGGAGAAGCGAGACTTACGACTGGGGTGTAGCTCCGACCGTCCAACAAGAGCATTTGTGGCCGATTGCGCTGCGCCTCATCCTTGACTCTATTTTCGCGGGCCGAAACCAGTGGTGAGACATGCAAGACTTTCCAATGTCTTGACAGCACGGCCGTGGGAGAGGCCCCATGCTCGACTACATCTGTGCACGCACATTCGGGACCTGCGTTTTTTTTCTCTCACTTGTCCGAATCTCTTTCAGGACTGGGGAGACCGTGGTGCAGACACGCATAAGATAATACTGATGAGAACCTCCTTGTCACCAACAGTTTCCGTGCACGATGATAGCCATCTCGCCCCATGCATATTGACACGTCGTCTTACAACCTGCTGCTGATTGTCACGGCGTTCTGTCAGTCACTACTCCTCTTATGGCCTCTTCCCTAGCACCAACGCCCCGTCAGCAGAGAGCTACGATATTGCCGGGCAAACTGAGCTTGAGCACCGGTGGTTCAGTGAAGAATCCGCAGGAAGTGAGCATCTGTCACAATCGAATCTGACTCAGAGCGATGAGCGAGACGTGATGACCGACTTGGCCCCGATAACCCTATCCGAGGCCTTTTTCGCCGGACACATCCAGTGCACACATGATAAGGCACACATTAGAAGGAGCATGCAACGCCTCAAAGTGCTACTCAACCCCTAGTCCCCTGCCTGGATCTTAAGTAGGTAAGCTTCAAGTGCCTCCTGCGACCGTAGGTCTGAAAGGACGTTACATCGACATATACTGCGCATATCGACCTTTACATATCAGTTCCTCTGTCCCGAAGGCCTCTTGGATGTCGAAATCTGGCAGGCATATCATAACAACACCAGCAGATGGCTCCCCTGTGCCCCCTCCAGCGAGAGCCGTGTCCCGCACAAACCGTTTCTACCCCAGCGTCACCCGTCATTCTCGCGACTCCCCACCAGCCGCCGCACATACAGCAGAGCGTCCCCAATCCACCGCGCTCGCTCCTCGCCAACCCGATCCCTCACGCCCGGATTCCGCTGCAACGCGCCGACCACCACACTGAGAGGCCACACAATCGCCAGCCCCCGCATCGCTTCCCCCTCCCCGGCTCCGCGACCACCACCGACGCCCCCCACCCCCGCAGTCGTTGGCCCCACGATCGCATTCGTACTGCGGGATATATGGCCTACCATCTCTGTGATGACCTCCAGAGCACCCCCCCGGTGGTCTCGCAGCCATACCCCAGACTGGTCGGGATCTCGCTCCGCAATCCACCGCCGACATCGGAGCAGATTCTGGGCCAGCAGGATCCGCACCGCGAACCCGAAGGTCCGGGGGATCGCCCGCCAGCTAGACTCGTAGACGTAGACGCGCCGCGGCGCGCCGGGCCACTGGAGTAGAGGGTGGTCTTGGGGGGTGGCGGGGCGGTCGTAGAAGTGGAAAGCGGGCGGAAGGTGGGATTCCCACTCTTGAAGGTCGCAGTCGGCTTGCAGGAGTGTGGTGATCATTTCCTCGATGGGGAGGATGGCGGGATTGGAGATGGTGCGTGGCTTCTCGTGGGCTTGCATCCAGCTGTCCAGATCGGCCTGCCACTGCGCGAGATGATACATCGTCCGGAACAGTCGCGCGGCGGGAAGGCGGGGATCGAGAACTCCCCTCCACAGGTGCAAGGGGAGCTGGGGTCGGGAGCGCGCGTTCAGGCAGTTCACTATCATCAGCAAGTACATGAACTTCAGCAGTCGAGGATCAATGCTTTCCTCTTCTGTTGTACTTGATCTTTGGGGGTTTTGTTGCTGCTGCTGCTGCTGCTGCTGCTGGATGAGCGAGATGGCACCGTGTTGATGTGCCTGCCAGGATCGATGCTGCTGCTCTTTGCCTCCACTGCCTGCCCCAATTGCGCTGCTGGGCAGGATGGTCTCGAAGAGCCCCATCAGCGAGACGGAGACGATCACATCCGTGCCGGGGACGCCGTTTCGGGTCTGCAGCTGCGACCGGATGAGGCCGATGGCCTTGGAGTACTCGGTGCGCGCGAGGATCTCCAGCTGCGGGATCTGCCGCTGCCGTTGCTGCTGCTGGCGCGCGTGGTGGGCCAGGGCCAGGGCTCGAATGGCCTGCGCCGAGGCTGGGTTTCCGGCTGGGTGTCGGTGGAGCATGGGCAGCATCTGGAAGAATTCCAGCCAGGGGTTGGCAACGGCGACCGTGCATCCAAAGTCGCGGTAGAAGGTGGCTAATGCGTGGTGCTGGAGATCGTCGTCGCCATGGGGTGGACTAGGGCTTGGACTCGACACTGCAGTGGCCCTCTGGCGCCACAACGAGACGGCGCGCACTGCCGCCTTGGTGTTCTCGTTGCGGAAATCGATCTCCAGTGGGTCGGGGTAGTGACAGCTGATGCTTTGGCGAGTACATCGGGCGCATCGCGGGTGATCTTCGCTGCACTGCGGTACATTGCTTGTTAGGCCATGTCAATCGGGTCGAGGGGTCGTGCTGAGCTTAGGTAGTTACCTTGACTTTGGATTTACGGCATGCAAGACAGCCTTTACTTCTACGGCTGCGACTCATGGTGTTGGTGTCTTTGTCGCTCTGCATGAAGGTGAACTGAGGATGGTGAGGGCTCGGTCAGTCAATGGTGGTAGAGTCTACAGAATGTGGAAAAAGTCCCGAGGCGTGGGCATGAAACACTGCCACGTGGGAGGGATGCGTTTTAGGGTTCTAGTCTGCAGCTCAAATCTGCAGGGAGCCCTTGTTTATGAGTTTCTGAAGAAGGGTGTCGGCGATTTTGATGCTGCGTCTTGCGGCTGACAGCCTCATGGAGTGTGCAAGGCTGTGGAGGTGGGCCCTGAGGTGGGCCCTGAGGTGGGCCCTGAGGTGGGCCCTAATTGTCTTCCTGCTGAAGCTTAGATGATCATTTCCAGAGACTTCTCGCGCCTCCTGCCGCAAACTGCCTAGTGTCAGTGGAAGTACAGTGGAGATACGTGTTTGCGGCTGTGTCGAAAACCAATCATGAGATGAAGGAATCTATACTTGCTCCTCTTATAAAATCCCGTCTCGCCTCGCTTGCCGCATATGGACTAGCGCCACAACAGGCTATGCAAGATGCTATGAAGCAGGATGCTAGTATGCTGGTGGATTGCACTCCTTCACGGCCACACCGACGTTTGTTGTGTCAAAATGCTTAGACGATCAGTTTCTCTGAAGAATATAAAGGCTTGCTGCACATGGGTAGAAAAGAACCACTCCTGACAATTGTGTCATATCAAACCCAGCATCGGGGATTCCGTCGTGCAGCCGTGCTCGATCACTTCAATATTTCTCTAGAAATGGGCATCTTTCACCACGACAGCAGCAGCCATGCAAATCACACATGTCCCACAGAGTCGCTCTCAGAAGGCAGGTCATCCCATTTGGTGCCGAAAGACGGGACTAACTGTGGACAACAGTGGCCTCCCAGCCATTCCTACACAACATGTCATTCCATACCTTCAACATGATCCTATCCGGGGCTTGCACGGCATTCACTTGTCTGACGATTCTCACATTAATGTTCCTGCATGCAACACATCTGAGCAAACCCAAGGAGCAGCTCAAGTATGTTGTCCTTCGCCTTCACCTTGACAGTCCGTGCACTAACAGATCTCAGGATCATGCGGATCTCCACTCTGCTCCCCTTGTACTCCATCTTCTCTCTGCTCGGAATCTGCTTCCCCGAGATGTATGTGTATCTGGAGCCCTGGCTCGACGTGTTCCAGTCCGTCGCGCTGGGCATTTTCTACCTGCTGATGCTGGAGTTCCTGGCGCCGTCCATCTCCCGCGAGAACATGTTCTTCGCCCCGTTGGCCATTCCACCCAGTGGAAGTGAGTCTCCCGCCGAGAGTCTGAGCTGGTATCGAGTGAGTCCTATTCTCCATCTTCCGGAACGTGACGGGTGCTAACACACTGCAGAAAACATGGATCGCCATCTTCCAATACCCGGCCGTCGCGCTGTTAGCATCCCTCGTAACCGACATCACCCAAGCCGCCGGGGTCTACTGCATGGAAAGCAGCAAGCCCTACTTTGCGCACCTTTGGGTAGGTCCCCCCCTGTCTTTATATCGCCAGTGATCATCAGTCTAACCCAAAAAAGATCACAATCTTCCTCAACCTGTCCCTCGTATCGGCCGTGTTTGCGGTGCTCAAATTCTACAAGAGCTTCAAGGTCCAGCTGAAAAACCACCAGCCTCTCGTCAAGCTGCTCGCCTTCAAGCTGATTGTCGGCTTGTCTTTCCTCGAACGGGTACGCTCGTCCAGCTCTTTCACCCATGCACTTCGTTGTAGATGTGGGAGTCAAGCGAGACTAAAAGAAAACTGCCATAGATAATCTTCTTCGCGCTGGGAGCGACAGACGTCCTCAAGCCCAATGCGCAACTCACCTACGCCGACGTGAACATCGGTATTCCCACGATGGTGATCTGCATCCAGATGGTGCCTTTCGCCCTGTTCTTCCACTACGCGTACTCCGTCCGGCCGTATGTCATCCGCAGGACGTTGCCGACACTCGAGGCGAGTTCGAACCCCGCCTATGAGGCGGTGACGGAGTTGCGGTATCGCGGGGGACCGCTGGGGGTCCGGGCCTGGGTGGCGATGCTGGATGTGAGGGAGATTGCGGGTGCGATTCGGTTCGCGTTGACGATGGCTCTGGGGGGTAAGGGAGTGGGGAGAGGGGAGGAACTGGATAAGCTTGGGGAGCGGTGAATTTCTGATTGTGCTTGGTTGTGATGCTTTTCTTTCCTTGGGTGTGGGTTGGTTATATGCCTGGATGGGACTGCTTCCTAATGCGGGATTTGGGATTCTTTTTGATTTGCTATATCGTTGGTTGGTAAGACGTCGATGAACGTTGGAGTAAAACTTCAGCTCCTTTCGAGACATTCATACTGTATTACACCCTGAGGTCTGGAACACTGTATTTGCATGATGACTCGCTCGTGGCACCAAAGAGAGCCCACAACAAGGCATTAGATCAATCCATCAGCTGCACTATACGTGTGAATGTGAAGCCTTGATTACCTAGCAGTAGTAAAGAGCTCCTTCTGAATGGAGGGGCTTGAGGGCAAACTCCTTAAAGCTGCATCGCCGTAAGCTGACATACAGTTCACCAGCAATGGGAGCCATGGCTGGACTTACTCATTTGAGCATTTGTATTGGTTCGGAGTCTGTCCCATCCCGTGAGCCTATTTGCGGACGATGTAATCACTCTGACGAAGACCATGGAGATGCTAGTGATACAATACCGACACATAACGTGGATTTGATCTGAGCTTCGTTGATCTTGAGACGGGGCTATGCGGGCTTTGCTTTCATGCTGGATGGAGATAAGCTATGTGATGGTTTACATTATAGTTCAGACAAGAAGCTTGTGAATATGTTAGGTAGTATTGCCCATCTCACAGGCGTCACTATAATAGGGACCGCATATAGGATTCCTTTTTTACCTACCACTTTATTCTAACCTCATCGTTCTCTCTGGGATACCTCAAAGATCTTAAGCTTAGGCCCTCTAGCATTCTTCTCAGGTCATACAAGTTCATTCCCTTATTCTCCTGAGCACAGTCATTTTGAACTCCTATTGAGCCTTGAAGTGAGCACAAAATCCTGGTTCTAGCACGACCTATATCGCTTAAGCACCACCTTATCATTGCCAGTGCGGTCTGCAGCCGAACTGCAACAACCTCACCCACCCGGAGTGGAATCCCCACCACCACGTCCTAGAATACACCTTCAGAGAACCCAGACTCACTCAGACAATCAGAAAGCCTCAGCCACCTGTCACTCCGACCTGACTATTCTCCATCATACACTATTCTCCACGTCTCTTACCAATCGGTAGCCACCTCAACCATGCCCTCTACCGCCATCCTCTTCGTCCCAGGCGCCTGGCACAGCCCCAGCTGCTTCAGCCAGGTCATCGACCTCCTGCAGTCCACGACGACCTACACGACCGACGCCGTCCACCTCCCCTCCGTCGGTCCCGAAAACCACCACTACCTCCGCGACTTCACCGAGGACGTCCAGCAGGTCCGCACCCAGATCCTCCGGCTCGCGGCCGCCGGCCACCGCGTCCTCGTGTTCGCGCACTCCTACGGCGGCGTCGTCGCCAGCGAGGCCATTCAGCACCTGGACTGGGAGACCCGCCGGAAAGCGAGCCTCCCCGGCGGCGTCTCGCATCTCTTCCTGTGCTGCTCCTTCCTCGTTCCCGAGGGCCGCTCGCTCCGCGACGCACTCGGCGGCCACGATGCCCCCTGGGTGGAGGTCTCGGCGGATCAGAGGGCGGCAATGCCTCGCAATCCGATCGGGGTGTTCTACCAGGACGTGCCGGAGGCGGCGGCGCGCGCGGCCGTGGCGGCGTTGAACCCGCACAGCTATCGCACGTTCTCTAGTGTTTGTCGCTTTGCGGCCTGGAAGGTCGTGCCCACCACGTACCTTTATTGTGAAAGGGATCGGGCGATCCCGGTGGAGGTGCAGAGGAGAATGGTGGAGGGGGTCGGGCAGGGGCGCGATATTCGGACGGAGACGCTGGATGCTGGGCATAGTCCGTTCCTGTCGCGGGTGGGGGAGGTGGTGGCTGCTGTATGCAGGGCTGCGGAGTTGTAGGGCTGAAAGGGGTGAAAAAGGGTGAAGGGGTTGAATCGGGGATTTGATGCATGCCTAGGTTGCTGAGGAAGGAATCTGTATCTTGGGGATAAGGTAAAGGGTGGCACTTGCGGATGGACTGGGGCTCAATAGCTTATCATGATCATGGCGAGGCTGACAGTCAAGGGTCATACTGTGGATATCATAGGGCAATGGAATTTGATTGCATCACGAAGAAGAAAGACCGCACTCGTGGCGATCCTCATCCACTCCAGACTGACCCCTACATGTCTATTCTGGTGTTTTGATCGATGCAGACGGCGTGTATGTTAGACAGCACCGGCCAGTCTCCCAAGCCAGTGGATTATCTGACAAGAAGGCAATGGAAAACATACTTCTGGGACAGTAACTCCGCCCCATCGGGTCGGACAGACCTTGGAGACTGTGCGACAGCCCCGGCAATCTAGCTGCAGTGAGACCAATTGGATAATAAGGTACTCCAACAGACTGCCGGAGGACGGTGTAACTCCGGGGTGGACGTGCTCTCGACATCATCAACATCATCATACGAAGATTGAGGGAATGAGGCAGTGATGTATGTACACATTTACGAGAGTATATAGAAGATTTGATGTACAGTCGGCGGACCTCACCAGCCAAGGTCAGGTCATGGACTTCTTCTAGCCCTACTTCCAACGAGAATGGAGTCGGCCGATCCCATTGTCTGAAGAGACGATAAGCAACTCATCCCACCCCGATATCAGATTAAGAGCCATTGGACAATCCGGACAAGATCCAAGTATAGCAGACTTGCAATGCACAGCGACAATGGAAGAAGGAGAGAAAGCTGAACTATAGGTTATAACCAACCACCGCCCACCCCAAGCTCGTATAGCAGGAGAGATGGCGGTCTCACGAGAGAACCACAATTCGCCGATCATGGCACCACTTCGGAACAACCAGAGAAGACTCTGTTTCTCCGAGGGTACTGGACGTTGGGGGGCAATCGAACATCCGGGTCCAACCATCAGCGGCGTTCGGCCAGCCCTTTCTCTCCCAAGGAATCGCTTCTTCCCCCGCAGCATGAAACTCAACGGCTCCAATGCAGCATTTCCCCTTCTTCTCGCCAGAATCAACCGGCCTACTCATTCCTCATCCGAGGCCAACCAAGCGAGAAAGGCATGGACACCTCCTCCCACTCGACGGAAATCGACCTCGACCTCGAGTCGCCCACCAGCGACGCCTTCGAAGTCCGCTGGGCCCCCGAGGACGCCCCCGCGAACCCGCATTGCCTTGCACCGCGGCGCAAATGGGCCATCGAGCTGCTCATCTGCTCTACCACCCTCTGCATCACCGTTACCAGCTCGTTGTACGTCAGCACCTACCACCAGATCATCGAGGAGTTGCGCTGCTCCCGCATCGTCGCCACCCTGGGGCTGAGCCTGTTCATCGGCGGGCTCGGCTGGGGGCCCCTGGTGCTCTCGCCGCTGTCGGAATTCTACGGGAGACGCCCGATCTTCCGCATCTCGCTGCCGCTGTTTGTCCTCTTCTTGATCCCCTGCGCGGTCGCCCGCAATATCGAGACGATGCTGGTGGCGCGGCTGTTGACCGGGTTGGCCGGGGCGGCTTTTACTAGTGTGGCGGGCGCGACGGTGGGGGATCTGTATACCCAGGAAAAATTGCATTTCCCGATGCTGGTGTATACCGCGTCGCCGTTGTGGGTTTGCCATCCTGATCGATGGGGAGGGGGAAGTTGTGGTTGAGGAAGGAAAGGTGACTGAGAGCTGATGGCGAAATGGCAGCACCGGATCGAGTTTCGGGCCTATGCTTGGGGGCTTGATCAATTCATTTGCGTCATGGTGAGTACTTTCCAGCCGGCTCGTGGACCAGGAGTCTGACCTGGATCTGTTCTCGAGTAAAGGCGCTGGTCGTTCTACACCCTCCTCATCTGGTCCTCCATCCAATGCCTCCTGGTCCTCTGCTTCGTGCCGGAGACCTACCACCCCGTCCTTCTCCGGCGCAAAGCTCGCCGTCTTCGCAAAGAAACTGGAGAGGAGCGATGGAAGGCGCCGATCGAGCGGTTGGACCGGTCGATCTCGATGGTGCGTGTTCCCCCGGTTTCTCCTTCAGTGTAGGGCTTGTTCTATCCAACGCGGCTAATCTTGCAGACCGTCCTCCGCTCGCTCTACCGCCCCTTTATGCTCCTCTTCCTTGAGCCCATGTGCCTGAATCTCTGTCTCCTCTCCGCCATTGCTCTGGGCATCCAATACCTGTTCTTCGGCTCGTTCAAGATCATCTTCGGCTCGGTCTACAATTGGGGGCTGTGGCAGTCCGGCCTGGCATTTGCGGGCATCACGGCGGGGATGGTTGCTGCGGTGGTTGCTGATCCTTGGTATGAGTCCTCGCCCTATTCTCAAGTGAGTGGTCTGATACCTTTGGTCGTAGGTGTCGCAGGTTGTATCTTCGGATGAACATCCTGCAGCAAATTGACGAGACGGACCCCGAGCGACGACTGCCACCGGCGGTGATTGGAGCGCCGTTGTTAACGGTGGGGTTGTTCTGGTTCGCTTGGACGGCGTGCGCTTTCCTGTCCCTTGTTTTTTTTCTTTTGTTTGTTGCAAGTGGTATGCCAGAGCAATCGTTGACTATGTAGTAGACTGCCTTCGGTGCATTGGGCGGTGCCCATCATTGGGAGCTCGTTGTTTGGAGCAGGGTAAAGTATCCCTCGAGCCTTAACCGAGGTTCTCCTTGTGGTGTAGGATCAGAGCTCCGCTGACAACCTTCATGCATACAGGATGATCCTAGTTTACGCGGGCGTCTTTACCTTCCTGGTGGATGCGTATCCCGTGTATGCTGCCAGTGCCCTGGGGGCCAACAGCTTCACGCGTAGCACCTTTGCGGCTGCGTTTCCTTTGTTCGGGTATCCGAGTAAGCTTGCCCATGATCCACAACGCTGCGCTGTTTAAGAAGCTAACAAGCGACCAGTGTACCACACGCTGGGCAACCAGTGGGCGACCTCCTTGCTGGCGTTTCTGAGTCTGGTGATGGCTCCATTTCCGTGAGTGGCATGCGCTGCAGCTGGTGTCCGGGGGCTGACTTTGGTGATGGCAGGTATATCTTCTTCCGATACGGGAAGAGAACCCGACGGAAGAGTCGGTTTGCCACGCGGAAGTAAGGGCTACAGCGGTAGGAGTTAAGCTACTCGTATAGACCGCTCCCAGTGAGGGTTTCGGGTCATCAATATAGAAGATATAGACAATTCTCAATTCATGACTCGGCATTATTCCGAGTGCTGGACATCACATACATCCCCTCGAGCACTTCAACATAAACTCCTCCGTGATCAATTGATCAGGGTCGCCGTCACGTTGGCGTGGAAATCCCGACTACTGAACCCCGCGTGGAAGGTAAACCGTCCCGAGGGAATGCGCCAGTCTTGCGCCACCACGTCCCAGTAGCTGACATCACGCCGCGCGAGATCAAACGTGACCATCCTGGTCTGTCCCGCGGGCACCCAAATCTTGTCGAATCCACGCAGCTGGCTCGGGGGAGTCCCCGCGGGCGCCGAGTCGGGGAACCCCACGTACAGCTGCGGGATAGCATAGCCGTCCACGCCGCCGGTGTTGTTCACCTGGGCGCTCAGGGTGTACACCGTCTCCCAGATGGCGGGGTTTCCACCCGGCTGAACGGGCAGGGCTGCGGGCAGGGCCGTGAGGTTGGTTCTGGGCGTCGTGGTGTGCAACGCGCTCAGGGTGAAGGTGGTGTAGCTGAGACCAAAGCCGAACTCGTAGCGCACGGGGATGTCGTGGGCGTCGAAGTAGCGGTATCCGACCTCCAGCCCTTCATCGAACCAGCTCTGCCAGTCGTAGGTTCCGTTGGTCTGCACCGCGGTGGTGACGGGGGCGTTGTAGTCCGAGGCGTTGTAGGCGATCACGTAGGGCAACTTGGCCGAAGGGTTCACCTCGCCGTACAGGAGGTCGACGAGGGAATTGCCTGACTCTTCGCCGGGGTAGTGCGCCGCCAGGATGGCCGTCACGTTGGGGTGATCGGCGAAGGGCAGCAGGTTGATGCCCGCCGAGTGGGTGACCACCACCGTGTTGTTGCAGTCGCGCGCCACGGCCTCCACCACCGCGGGCCCATTCCAGTCCAGCTCCAGCGAGCTCCGGTCCTCGTTCTCCTGCGACCAGCTCTTCAGGAACACCAGACACACGTCCGGCTGCTGCGGATTCCACAGCGAGGCTAGCCCCGAGGTGGTGATCAGGGTGTTGTTCAGCCACGACTGCACCAGCGCCCCGTCCTGCCGCGCCCGCGCCGTGATCGCCTCCAGCGGCGTCGACAGGAAGCTGAACCGACAGGTGCCCGACCCGCCAGCGTTGGCCAGCGTCCCGTACTCGAAATCGTTCTGGTTTGAGGCTCCCTGCGTCATGGGCCCGGCGTCGTTGCCGACAATCACGATATTCCGCGGCTTGCGCAGCGGCAGGGCGTTCCGCTCGTTTTTCAACAGCACGGTCGAGGCCGCGCCATGTGCACGGATGAGCTGGCTGTGGTTGCCGCGCACGTCGCGGTTCTGCTCGCCTGTGAACTTCCAGTCGTACAGCCAGGTGTCCGGGGGCGAGTCGATGTTCAGCGGGCCGACGGAGGCATCGACGCTGGGGTAGGCGGGATCGTCCTGGCCCAGCCAGAAGTACGGAGTCATGATGCGCACGATCATGTCGTCCAGGCGAGTGGTGGCGACGGAGCCATTGCGTACCGCCGCGGTCAGGTTCTGGCCGAAGTAAGAGCCCTCAGTCCACAGCTCGCCGTAGACGGTGAACCCGCCGGGCATGGTCATGTCCATGCCGCTCTCGATGGAGGCGACACCACTGTGGGTGGCGCCCCAGTCGGACATGACGTAGCCCTGGAAGCCCAGCTCGGTCTTGAGCAGGTGATTCAGGGCGTATGAGTTCTGGCAGGCGTGCGACCCATTGATGCGGTTGTAGGAGCACATGACGCTGGCGACGCGGGCGCGCAGGGCGTTGGCGAACGGCCACATGTAGATCTCGTGCATCGTGCGGTCATCCAGGTTGGAGGAGACCGAGTCCTGGATGTAGGTCGTCGCGTTGGCGTCGGGGGCGTAGGTCGGATTGCGCTGGGTCTCCTGCTCGTAGGCGACCCAGTGCTTGGCGTTGGCCTGCACGCCTTCGTCCTGTATGCCCCGGATCGTCTCCTCCATGCACACCCCGGTCAGGTACGGGTCGGCGGCGAACCCTTCCCAGGTGCGTCCGTTGTACGCACTGCGCCCCAAGGGGCCGCCGATGGGGCCCAGCACCACGTGTGTCCCCTTGGCCTTGTGCTCCTGGGCGATTGCCTGTCCGCGCGTGTACAGCAGGTCGCGGTCCCAGCTGGCGGCCGCTGAGACCCCACTGACGAAGACGCTCGAGTAGTCGCCCTGCTCCAGGCACTGTGGTCCGTTCTGCAGACAGAGTCCGCTGAAGTTGAGGCGTGGGATGGGCAGCACGTTGCCGACGCAAGGGCCCGGTTGGCCGGTGGCCATCCAGGTCTTCTCCTCCAGAGTCAGTTGGGAGACCCAGTGTTTGGCCTTGGCTAGCGCCTGATCCCATCCGCCAACGCCGGTGATGTTGGCTGCGCGTGGGGAGAGTCCGTTAGCGGGGAAAGAGCTGTAGAAGTAGAGAGGACCTACGGGAAGGATAGACCGCCGGGGAAGAGCCGTAGGGTGTCAGAATGGTGGTGTTGAGCGGCTGCACATGACTGAATGGCTTGCCCGGATGGTTGATAGGGGCCTGGCAAGTGCTTGCATGGACTGAGGGAGCCAGCAGCGCCCCTGAGAGGAGGAAGGCGTAGTCGGGTGAGACCTTCATCGCAATCAGATGGGCCTTGACTGGAGGAACTGAGGTCGCTGTTGAGGACTGAATTCAAATGCAATGAGACGTCCACGGGACTCTCTATTTATTTACCTCAAAGTATGCAGTGACACCAAACGGGAAACACGGCGTAGCGATGCTGCATTGATGGATCGCATCATCATCATCATCATCTCCATTAGGGCTCGGGATGAAGTCCAAAGCCGGGGATCGGCCTCGTGCCGAGTCCTCGACCCCGACCAACCCCAACGCCCCACAAATCCCACCCGTGGGGGTTACATGCAGGTGCGGGGACTGTCGATGACTCAATGGCCTCATATCTCGTCTCCACTTTCCATGTACTCAGTATAATTGATCATTTGCCGAAGTTTTGCCGAGAGAAATTTCCCTGGCGCGGTCGATGACGTAGGCGGGTTAATTGTTCAGTGGGTTACCAGTGAGCAAGTGGACCCCGTTCAAGTGATGGTTGAAAATACCGTGAATACCGTACATCCTGTGAGTCCTGTGAATACTGTACATTCTTAAGGAGTTACATAACTTAGCAAGTAAGTCGGATGGTGACCGGCTACGGGCTCGGTCCGATAACCGGAAGGGTTGTTGCTGATTGCGGCAATCCCCGCTCTCTTCCCCCTCGTATGAATTGCCGCTTTCATGTAGACAAAAGCCTTCAACTGATTTCCGACAAGCCTCATGAGAAGAAGGAGTGAAGCAGAGAGTGGTATGTTTATCTTCCGAGCCCAGGCATCAAGACACCACACGTACACAATGCTCACGATGTATATAATAACATGTAACAGATGTAATTCATAATTAATTTATTTTTTTCTTTTCACTTTTTCTGGTTGGCCGAAATCGATTCGCGTGGCCTGTCCAAAAGGCCACTTGGGCAATAAGATAATGAGTGAATGAATGAGGTAGTGTCCTTCTAAGCAACACTCACCGTAATTTCACCTTCCTGTTCTCTTCTACACTCGGTCTTCGCTTTCCGGAGAAGTAGTTTGTCGGCCACCCGGTACCAATTACTAGGAAGGAAGTATGGATCGTCTGCACTACAGTAAACTTCACTAAGCTGAGTCTCTTGTATACAGTCTACTGCAATCTTTGACATCTGGTAACCAATAAGCTCCGGTTCTGGCTCGTTGATGGCGACGGTGAGTGCATCCCTTCAGCCAACGCTGGGGTGATGTTCTTGTTCTCCCGTGGCAGAGAAACCGCTGACGATCTTAGTACCAGTCACCATATACAATGTACAGCTGCCGCCGTTTTGCTCCAGCAGTGCTTGAATAGCAGGTTCCGTCAGGCGGACCTGTACGGTGCTCTGGCTTGGCATGCCAGCGAGTTGGTAGTCCACAATACTGTCGATGCGGATATCTGTTCTCCAGATCACTAATCCCTCATGTACAAGAGTCTCCAGGAGGACCTCCTCCAATTCAGGTACAAGGCCGAACTCCCGTGAAACCTGAGCATCCTAACGTATCTCCATTGATGGACTCCTCCAGACTTCTGGATATTACGCCTCAAGCTCAGCGGTTGTGACCGTCGTAAGCGGCCGATGGGGCTCGCTAGGATTCACGAAGATGTTACCCAAGCGAATTAGACCGTCGGGAGCGTGATCGAGGCCCGGAACCAGCGCCCAGCTGTTAGGTATCCCCTCAAAGACTGATGATACACTCTTGATGGATGGGATCTGGGTTGGTCTGTGGTGAGGTTGGCGAGGGTTTTGACCCGGGGGTTGAAAGACTGTTGTGACTAGCAATACCTGCATGCGCTTTATGTACCTCTCTAAAATATGGACTGCAGCATCTACTTGACCCGATCAGGCTTTGGTTGCTTTTGGGTCACGGCGAGCACCGGTTCCACTATCTCCGTGCCATAGGGCTACTTGATGTCTTCCTTGACTGGCTCATTATTATCTCAATAGGATTGATTGAATGGTACTTTTCTATGCTGACAGAACTTATTGAGGAGGCCCAGGCAGTCTTTTGTCTCCTTCCCAAGCACTGATGGCACAATGAAAGATGGATTGTCTCACCAAAGAGCGAGGTGCTTCATCGCTAAGGTGGGCTGAGATAGGGTCACAATAAGCTTAGTGCCATGTGACGGGTCAACAAGTAAGATTCCCGGTTTTCCGTGGATCGGACTTGGTGTGTGTACTGTTCGCGGTTGCCCTGGTCTTGATGGCGATGCCTGGGATACTTATGATCCGGACAATGACAACCAAAGACGGATAGCCTCAATGGGGGCTTGCCTTCCACAACTCTTTGCATCCAAAGCCAAGCCAAGCCACGTCGCTGCCACTTCTTCCTTTCCGTGCATTTGAGCTGCCGGCCAGCTCAAACCGCCCTCCCTGCGAGACATGACCGGACTCATACTGCTGAGTTCTGACTGCAGGAATCTCCTGCATGCCCTTGTTAACCGGCCGACTTCCACGTCTCCCAAGCGATTGCCATGGCTCTCGCTAGGCACTCTGCGACGACGTCCGATCCCTACTCCCCTCTCCTGACTGGGGGGGGGGGGGTAAGTAGCATCGGAAGCGGCTCAACATGATACAGTAACCGGATCGAAGTGCAACGCAATTAGTGGTAGAGATGAGGATGACGTGGAAGGGGACGGACGGGGACATAGGGTAAACATAGATGTATATGTATTGTAGGAGTAATGGGTTCATTGTTAAGTATATAAGGAGTGGGAAGGTGGTGCGGTGCTGTCCTTGCCGGTCACGATCCGTTACGACTGCAAGTGACCCTTATAATCATAATCAGCATGCAACCCTTGTCAGTTAGGAATGTGATTGTACGAGTAGGATGGGATAATGGTAGGATCCCTGGACTCAGTCAGTCTGATAACCGGAGCGTTGCTGATTAATTGCTTTGCGTATTGCCGCTTTCAATGTCTTGTTGAATGCCCTCAGAGGCATCAAGGCACCGCCTGCCCACGCAAGGCCAGAGAGATTTGGGGTACCAGGTAGTTAAGTTGGTATAAGGATTTCAGATGTCTTGGATGTAAAATTCATAAAGGGTTCATTTCTTGGAGGGTATTTAGTCTGTTTTGCTGGGTCATATCAAGACGCATACCAAATGCATATCAGATTTGTCCCTCAGGAAGGGAAATGCGCCCGACTGTAACTTCACCTTCCTGCTCGCTCATATACTCGGCCCCGATCTCCTGGTGAAGTAGTCGGTGGGCGACATCGCTCCAAGAATCCGGAAAGAAATGTGGATCTTCTCTAGCAGGGCTGTAATCGTTGAGCTTAATCCTTCGTGCAGGGTCTATCACAACCTCAAGCATTCGGTAGGCGAGAATTTTCGGGCCTTGGTCCTTAATAATGACGTTGACACCATCCTCTGGACGCCCTTCTGGAAAGTGATATCGTCTCCCTTCGATAGAGATATTTTCAACGATCAGAAGACAGTTCACTAGATACAGCTTACAGTCGCCACCGCTACGTTGCTCCAACAGTGCTTGAATAGTGGGGTCCCTCATCAGACTGGCCTGAACTACCTCCTCCCTAGGTTCTTTAGGGTAGAAGAGATTGTAATGGTGATCCCCAATGGACAGCTTCGTGTCCCAGAGCAATAATCCATCATGAGAACGAGCCTCCGGGGGGATCTCCACTCCGGGTTCAAAAGTATCGTTAAACTTCCACGCAGAATGGCCAGTGAGATGCCCCACCGATGTCTCCGTGATGATCGGTGGAAAGCCTTCCTGTCCCTCGGATGCCGGGACTCTGGTGAGCGGCCGATGAGGCTCGCTAGGATTCACCAAGATATTGCCCACCCGAATCAGGCTTTCGGGAGCGTGATCAAGGCGTGAGACCAGCGCCCACCTGTGGCTGATGTCGCGAAAAACTCTTAGAGGCATAATGAGGGGTCTGACTTGCGGTTGTGATGAGGTTGGTGAGTGGATGGGTTGGAATATTGTAGTATCTGGGGGTGATTTCAGGCAGCTTAAATACTCTTTCAGCGATGCAAACTGCAGCATTGCCTCCAATTTGACCAGGCTTTGTTGGGCTGTAGGGTCACGACGAGCACCGGTTCCGCCAATTCCGCGTCACATTGCTGCTTGATGTCTTCAAGCTTGGCCAGGGGAATTTTGCTCGGTATCTTTCACTGACCCAGTTTCATCCTAGATGTAAATGAAGGGTACTTTTCAATTCTGACATAAATGACAACGAAAGATAGGTTGCCTCGCAAAGGAGCGAGGTGAATGAGAGATTGCTGTCTCCCGTGGATCAAGAGTGAAGTGCGTATTGTTTGCGATTCCCCAGTCTTTGTGGCGATACCAGGGATGCTGTGAACGAAACATACCCTCATGATCTGAACCATGATAATCAAGGTCAATGTAGTGATGAAATCCTTGTGGTGAATGAATTGCACTTTGCACTTGCTCGTTCATTGTTTTGATCTATCGATGCAATTCTTTATGGAATCCTTGTTTTGTCTTTAGTGCAGTCTTTGGCAGCCAGTCGTGGTGCTGACTATGCGCAGCCCTTGGGGTCCAAATCTTAGCGATCATCCTATGCGAAATCTCGGGCTCTGGCAGAAGATAGCTCCTGCTCACGTAGTGTGATCTTTTTCAGTTGTTGTAGCACCGCGGCGAGCAATCAGTCCCGAAGGGATCATTTGGGGACCAAATGCACAAGGGGAGTATAGTGCTCCCTAGCTTTGATCTCCCCTGTGCCGCCCATCACAATCTCGGAGCAGCTCTCAGCTGAGGACAACCGGGTAGCTCGAAGCTAGCTTCAAGCCAGGGCTGTCATCCTAGGAACATGGGTATGTGACAGGCAGGTTCCTGCTAATTTGGAGCCCAGTCACTATAGATAACATGCTGCCGCCGGCATTCCAGGACTCTTGTCCCAGAATATGGGTCGATTGTGGAATCACCAGGGGATGTACTGACCAGAACAAATATCAAGGAAACGCAAAAGCATTCGGAACAGAAGGGAAAGCAACTATGCCGGGCTAACAATGTTCTTCCATCTACCATCCACACAGATACTGACGAGCAGAAAGGCTCGTGGACATCTTTCATGAGATTGTGCAGCTTCCTGTGATAGCAATATCTATGAAGAAGGAGAAAGAGCTGTAGTGCGATTCACCCAGACTCTTCATCTACAGTGAAATAATCGTACCCTTTGTTCTTCTCTGTTCTAAAACAAGCCCCATTCAGGCGCTCTACATGGATCAACCATGTCCAAAATCTCTTCCATGTGGCCATAAGCCAAAACCACATACCGCACACATATCACCCCTCTTCTGTTCCTCCCCCACGAACACGATTCTCCACCTCTGCCGATCTCCTGTCCCTCTTCGTAACACACGAGAACATACCCAACGATCAACTAAGATGGAGAGCATCGGCTGCCGAAACGGACTGAAGACCGACACAGCAGAACCAGCCAGGTAGGCGACCGGAAGATGGCTTAGACTCTCCCAGTCAATCGGGGACTGGAATCAGTCTGAACCCAGCAGCCTTCAAGCCAAGAGCGCAATAGACCTTCCGCTGACATGAACGTTTCGTGGCAGGGATATCTTGCTGCGTCCGGCACCCGAGGCTTGCGATATGCCTGCAACCCCTCCTCCTCCTTGTCATAAGAGCCGTTCGAGTGGACTGAACGCTGGGCATACGAAAATAGACCTCCGCTCTCATGTGGAGCCTATCCACATTCCCATCTCCAGGGAAGCTCTTGACGCAGCAAAGAAAAGCAGGACTCAAGAATGGCTCTCGTGTCTGTCCAGTCGGCTCCAAAACCTGTCTCCACAGTCCATGCGCAGAGAAACCCAAGTCGCTGTGATTGACTCAGGCTGCATGAAACCCCCAGGAGAATTTCCGCAGCTTGCCGGGTATGAAGACCTGGTCAGGGGCGGGACAGCGTGCTATGATGAGAACGGACACGGGACTAAGATTGTCAGCCTCATAACGAGCCTTTCTCCTACCATCAAAGTGCAAGTGAAATGCATAGGAGATCGAGACACCGACCTTGAAGTGGGGGGTCAGTTGATAGCTGATGTATGGCTCCTCCCCACCCCCCCCCTCTCCCCTCCTTTGGGCCTTCATGCAATATCGCCATACTGAATTAGCATTAGGCAATCCGACAGGCCGCTGAAGACCCTGAGAACGACATTATTTGCATGGCATTTCACGTACCAGAAGATGATCGAATCAGTCGGGCTATAGACGAGGCTGTCAGACGCCGGAACGGACGCATTTTGTTTATTGCAGCGGCGACCGCGGCGAGGTGCTCGGAGGTCAGGTTTCCTGCCAGTCATCGATATGTGATAGCCGCCCGTCCGCTAGATCTGAGAGGATGGCTTTGGTCAGATCGATCGCTGGTCCGCAAGTCGCCAAGCGAGGTAGTAATCGCGACACTAGGCGAGTGCGTGCCAGTCGCATCGCTTGGGCATCCCGCCCAGATCAAGGCTTATAGGTCCGGCTCATCAATAGCAGCTGCCATCCTCGTCGTCATTGCGGCCACTTTATTGGAGTGTGTCAATTCGGGTGACGATCTGGAAAGAAAGGAGAGGATGGAAGCTGCACTGAAAGGTCTGGCTGAAGCATGGAGGGAGAAGGCTGGGATTGAGGGACCACCGACTAGCTTGTTGATGGTGTGGGATGCAGCTGCGTGAACCACATCAAGTACAACGGTCTCGGGGGAAGGGGCACAGCGCGATAGTCTACCTCTACATAGGGAGGCAAAAGTTACGCCGAGTAGGAATAGACAAATGTGACCATACATGGACTGGATGACTTCCGTCCCCACCGAGTCGCCGAATAACAAGCAAAAAGCTACCTAGTTTCCAGTCTCGGTCTCCTCGAACGCAGGGACCAAGATCTGAAAATCATGCTTGCGCCAGTCTTCGGCAGTCATCTCGTCAGCACGCAAGAAGGGACCTCCCCCACTACCAGTGTTTCCCTCCTCCTTCGCCTCCCCCCCTTCCTCCTCACCCTTGTTGGCCTTGTCGGGATTGACCGACGCGAATGCTGCTGGTGGACGATGGAGTTGCGCTTGGATCTGCGGTTCCTGGGGCCCGGAGCCAAGAGTGACCTTGTGCAGTCGATACGCAAAGAGAATATTGTTGAGGCCGGCGTTGACGTTCCCGATCTCGGGGCTAAAGATTCCCCTGCTGCCCGTGAGATGCACGGAGAAGGAAATGTCGCCAAATCCGAATCCAAGATCCGTCCGGGGCGGATCCCGAACGGTGTGCCGAAGGAATTTCGTCGCGATCATGATACCAGACACAACGTAAAGCGGCCTGCCAGAGATTAGGTAGGCACGGATTGACTTTCGTTCGAAAAACAGGTGAAGTTCATTCCAGGGAAAATTGGGAGCGAGCTTCCGCGTCCGCACGCCCACCACGCTATGGCTCGCGAAGCCGCTGGCAGGTCTTTGGTGCCACACTGCGAACGTCAGGGAATTGAAGATTCTCGCTCCGAGACCCAAGGCCAGCGGCGATCCGTCAGCGGACTCGATTTGATAGGAGTCTTCATCGTCGTCCTCAACAGTCGGAAAGTCGCTCAGGTCTTCGGGCTTGACCTGCTGAAGGGGGCTGTCAGGTGCGTGAGGATCTGCGATGACATTGCCGAGGGCAATGTCGCTCATCGTTTCGCGCGTGAATGCTGGGGCAAGTGCCCAGGTGCCAGAAAGAGACATGGTTTTGAGTATTGAAGAAAGCGACGGAGGAATTGCTTGATGGTTTCAATGGCAAGGAGGGAAGTGGAGGTCGAACCACAGGTACTCATGCTCCCTTTTATCTTTCGACCCAATTTGTGAGACGGTTGACCGTTCTGAGGGTCGGTAGGTGGACTCACAACGAAAACAAGCTCATCGGGGCATCTCAAGAGACAGATAGGGTCGCATTTGTGGATGTCTGCAGGAGGCATCCCGCCCTGAATGTGCAATCTGGCTTCTACTTTCTCTTCCCAACTACGGCAAGAGACCTGCTAGACAGCAGTCAGACCCCGCTCAGACGGCTGCACATACCCTCAGCATAACGGACTCCTACAGAATGTCACGGCGGTGGGGGATGTGGTTGAGGTAGCACAGAGCACACAGACGGGAAGTTGCGGTCCCCCTCTGGAAATCTTCTCAGAGGCAAACGAAATCCTGTTTGCTTTCCAGGTGGTAGGCAGTGCCCTTCCAATGGAGAGAATGGCATCAGTGAGCAGAGCTGAGGATTGGCCGCATTCGAGCCGGATGATTGGGGCTCAGGGCTGCTATTGATTATTACTTGGACTCACTGTAAAGTTCATTTATGTTGACCACAGCTAGCTGCGGATAAGGTAGTGAATTGTACTGGACTGTACTGGACTGTACTGGACTATTGTACACTATAATCCCAATGATGAGAATGAATGTAATGCTCTCAGGGCTCCAGGCTGTGTCTTTCTAAAGAGACTTAGGGATAGGATAGGCCTACAGCTACTGGTGAAGGAGGCCCCCGCCGGTTGACTGTTTTGACTGTTTTGACTGCTTTGACTGGTTTACTGTTTTGATTATCTTGGCTGGTTTGATTGCTTTGCTTGTTTTGTCTATTCTGAAATCCTGCCGTTCTAGAAGCTCCACCGCCTTTATACACCGCCATCAATGTAAACCCCCTCACTCACTTTCCTTCTCCTTTCTTGCGAATTGCGGAGTGCTTTGCCAGACTCTCTCTCTCTCTCGGCCTGGGAGACCTTGGACCCCGGTCAGAAGAGCTCCATAGCGGGACAACTGCATTCCTACCTGGTCCAACTTCGCCGTCTGAAAGGGACTTACATTGGTGCTGCGGGTCATGGCAAGGCGTGCATCGGGCAGCGCGCACCGATCGAAGGCGGTCCCTTTGACTCGGAGCAACAGTTCAATACCTTCATCCTGGAAGACCTGGTGAAATTACCCGAGGTGCTCCAGCACTATGCCAAACATGCGTTGACGGACAATCATGAGATCGTTTTCACTCGTGGCGACTTTGCCCCCCCGCAATATCCTGGTGGAAGGGGACCGGGTCACGGCTGTTCTGGACTGGGAAGATGCTGGCTGGTATCCCGAATATTGGGAGTATATCAAGGTCATGCAGCATCTAAAGCCGATGCCTGACTGGCCGGATTACTTGACGGTGATACTCCCACCTCGGTACGAGAAAGAATATCTAGGAATGGCATTTCTTGCTCGTCTCCTGCGCCACTACATCGATTACCCAGCACCATGATCAATCAATTCAACAATGAAAGCACGCAGAATCCGACCCATTCCCTCCGACGGAACGCGAGCCGGACAACCAGAGACAGGGTCGATGTTTCCCTTCATGGATCACCCATATCCCGGGCCTGCTAATCGAGCAAACAATCACAACATCCCCCACCCAATCCTGGCAATTCCAGTCCGCATCTGTGGGTCCATTCTTGACTGGGGTCCTGGAAATCACGCTTCTGATAGAGGCTTCGCTGATTGACTCCGGTTGGTCCGCCACTCGAACAGTAGATGCCAGCCGTCGACTTTGTTCGGGGTTGTAATTCTCGTAGGTTTGGAACTCGAAAATCCCAGCTGCTCCGGTTATATGCTCGAAAAAAAAGCCCTGTGTGGCGGTACTTGGTGAAGTCGAGCGGGTCCCCAATGTAGATCAGAATCGAAACGCTGGTTGGCATGTTTGTCTAAAGAATGGGCGGATGCGATCTAGGACAATTTCCGTGCAGTACAGATAGGTGCCAGTAGCTGGAGGGGATGAAGAGGCTGTGTAGTCTGCCAATTGCCCGCAGACGAATGCCTCTTAAATCGACAGGAGAGGTGGGTGCTGCTCATCCATTTGAGTTTGGAAAGTGAAAGTGAAAGTAAAAGTGATGCAGGTGCTCATGATGTCTCAGTGATTAGTGGATCAAGACTGTTGTCAACACGCGTGTAGCTTGTTAACTCAGCGGCTATCGAAATTCGGTCTTTACTACTCCGCTTTTGCCGGATTGGAACCCTTATGATAGAGTCGGAACGGAGAGAATGCCCATAATGTAACCCTTGAACTAGCTGGCTGTCTGTTACGCGCTTGGCTGCCCATTGCCCCCTTTTCTCAACCCGCAGTATCAACAGATCATAGGCCAACAGTCAAGAACGAGCAGACTGGGCACTTCCAAGTTGGGGAAATGGCGGAAAGTACGCGCTGGGCCGGACATTGTAAGAATATAATTGTACTGTACTGTACCTTGACTCGGATAAGATATTTTCATTAGGTTGGTCTAGGTCTTCTATGCTGTACTGGATGAGTCGTTTGAACAATGGCTGCTCAATCCCCCTCTACACTCGCCACATACTCTGCCCAGACCTGTTTGATGTCATTCTTGTAAATCCAGTCTAACGAATCCGCCCCGGCGCCTCCGAACGATGCGACGCGGGCCTTGATGACGGTGTCGAAGTCCCCGTTCAGCGCTCGAGCCTTCTTCGCCTCGCTCGCCTTCCGATCGAGATAGTCATACCTGCGAAGAACATTGTGTCAGCCACATCACCCTCTTTGGAGACCAGGCAGAGGATAGAAAAACCACGTGCATCCGTTCATAGTACGGCGCCCGGATCCGTTGGAAGATCTCAAGTGCATCCTTGATCGGTGTGTTCGAGGTGATGGTATGCTCGATTGCCCGGGCCAGAATCCATCCATCCTCCATCGCAAACGCGGCCCCCGACCCAAAGGCACCGGACAGCGGGTGGCTGGCATCCCCGATCAAAGCCACTTTATCCCAGCCCTGGATCTCCGGCAGACACGGGCCAGCGGCCATGGCGAATTCTCGCCAGTCCCCTTCCGGGACCACATCCAAGACGGCCTGGATCCGAGGATCATACTCCTGTGGTTTCAACCTCTGGTGAGTTCACGCCGCTGGAGCGAGTACGCGAGAGGGTCCGGGGATATATCTGTACGCACCCCACACCGAGCGCGGACGCGGTCGTTGGTCGATGGAATGGCCCAGGTTGCGGTTCGGCCGGGCACCTCCGGCTCGTCGAAGGACCGGACGGTGATCTCGCACAGCTCACGGTCGGGCTCGTCGTCCACATGCGAGAAGTAGAAGTAGCCGTTGAGGCCATGCCACCATCCGGTGGAGGTGGGAAACTCGGCGACATGGCGGATGGAGGCGACTGGCACCAGCACCCGCCAAGCGGTGACTCCTGGGAGGTTGGCTTCTGTTTAGCCAGGCCCATGTGGCGTCGTTGCAAGTCCTGACTGTACTGTTCCCACTCCAGGCGAGTCACTCACCAGTGAAATGCAAATGGTGGTCGGGAAACAATGTCTGTCGAACGACCTATTAGGGCAATGTCAGTAGGAAACCTTTCCTTGGACTGGTCAGTCTCACCGAACGAATCCCATCAGCGCCGACCACTAAGTCCGCGCTCGCTACGGTCGCATCTTGGAACTGCAAACGAGCCCCGTCCTCCCCGCCAGGATCCGTCAGAGAAACCAGCTTCTTGTTGAAGCGGATGGTGTTGGCAGGCACCCTGGCGAGCAAGGCGGCTTGCAGGCGGGTTCTCCGAGCCCTAATGGATTCATACTTGGCCTCCTCGGGACTGAGGGGTGGAGGCGTCGTTGCGCGTGGAACGATCGATTCTCCCGTGCGACCATTTCTGCGAGCTCGATTTCAGCCATCACGTAGGAAGGAGTTAGAGCCAGGAGCAAGGAGGCGCACCAACCGTTGGAAGGGGGTTTGTTTCGTTGCCCCCTTGACCCCGTCGGCCGCGCCCAGCAACTCCAGCACATTCCATCCATTACGGCCGATACTGATCCCTGCTCCGACCTCCCGAGGCTCGGGGGCTCGTTCGTAGACGGTGACGGAGACGTAGGGGAGCTCCGACAGGGCAATGGCGGTCGCTAATCCCCCTGGCCCGGCCCCGACGATGGCCACGTTGAGGTGTTTCCGGGCTACCATGTTGAGTTGGGTGTTCTCGAGCTGGGCAGGCGTTGATTAGTATCGATGGCCCTTCTGGTGTATTTAATCGCCGTTACGGTTGGGGGCTTATCACCGAAGCCCCGCTTGCAGGCAAAGATTCGCCATCCCTCGGCCGTATGAGGAATGTCTTATCAGTGATCAATCACGCATGCACCACTGCGGACGCTCATGACGCCATTCGTAGTCGGATGAGTACTGTAGTTGGATGCAAAGCCTTCTTCGCAGCCCTTAGGTGAGTCCTAGACTTAGGCATCGCAGTTTTAGGATTAATCCTGCATCGTATGTGTTCAGCGGTGCCTGCATAGCCTACCTGACTGTCGGCTACCCAAACAGATCGCCTCGATAGGTATTTAGTTTTGTTGATTTAAACGTGACAAATGTCCATAAATACCGTACATGCGAGTCTTGTGCATCGCCATAAGCAACGTTCTTGTTTGTGCGACACTAGATCCCCCCCCCCCCTCCTCCCTCCCCAAGCGTCTCACACCAGGCTCAACGCGTCACTCCCCGGCACAACAAACACTTCCCAATCATTCAAGTCGGCGAACCGACCCATCTTCCTATCCTCCACAGCGTGCAGGTGAAAGTCCCGCCGTTGCCAGACGCCCTCAATGACCGCACGCATTCGCGCAACGCTCGACACACTCCTCTTGGCCATCTCCATCAGCAGCCGCAGGACCAGCCGTCGACGGCCACCGTTCTCGGCCTCCATGCTGCGACTCGGGTTCTCGACGACCACGTCATCGAGAGGGTCCAGCTCGACGGCCGCCACGAAGAGCGGCCACATCATCGCCTGGCTGGCGGAGCCCTGCGCGACCAGCGCCCTCACCCCCGCGAGGATTTCCTGGACGGTGACTTTGACAGCGGGATCGCAGGGCCGGGCCCCGTGTAATGCACATTGGATATAGACGGAGCAGGCCAGTCTTTTGAGCTCAGCCACGCGGCGGAGGGTCTCGTCTTCGCCCCCGACGGCGGGGTTCTGGACGAGATCGTCGAGTCGACGTTGGAGGTTCGAGGCGCGCGCGCGAAAGGTCAGCTCCTCCGACGCGGAGGACCCCATGTGGCGGCGGTGACGGCTGAGGTCCATGATCGCGAACAGGATCGACACCAGCGCGGGACTGCAGCCCATCCAGTCGTTGATGGTCACATCTCCCTCGGCCCAGTAGCTGGGTCCGAACAGATCGGCCTTCGCGCAGGCGGTGCGGCCCATCACGTCCTGGAAGGCGAAGAATAGCTCGACGAATTTCGAGACGGGGTCGCTTGGAACTGTGGGGAGGGCGAGAAGTGCGTCGGCCTGTCGCTGTTGCTGCTGGCGTCGGAGACGGATGATGTCCTTCGCGCCTTGCAGGTGGACAATCCAGCGTCGGTCGCAGTGATCGACGATCTCGTAGAGGCAGAGCAGCATGATGAGGACGAGGGCTTCGGGGTCGGGGGAAAGAAGGAAGGATCCTCGATCCTCGCTCGCAATCCGGCGGCGAAAGCCACTGACGACCTGCGATTTGAGCGTCAGGGCGTGCACCCCGTAGCGTGGGTCCTGCTGGCTCCAGTGGCATGCTGCTAGGGCCATCAGGGCCTTGATCACCACTGGGGAGGCGGTCTGACAGTAGGGCAGGATGATAGCTGCGAAAGGTGAAGTGGCGCTCGGGCTTGGGGTCGTCCGGGGGCAGATCTGGTGGATGTAGTAGTCCAGCAGGAAGCTTTGGTCCAGGTGGTTCCAAAGAGGTGAGATGGATAGGGCTGGTTGGATACTGAATTCATGCACGTTCCTGGCCGGCATGAGCACAAGATCCTGGTGATCGAGCAATTGCGGCAAGCTGTGACTATCCGCATGGATAAAGCTCCAGTGATGGATGACAGGGGTTGTAAGGATGGTCTGATCCGCCGTGGATGGTATAGATGGTATAGATGGTATATCCTCTGGGCTCGGCTTTTTCGAGGCACCTTTGCGCCAGACTCCCGTACGGCCGAAGGTGACCCCCCGAGCACGATAATCCGACTCCCACTTCAGAGTCACGGTGTCTCGGGTGCAGGAAAGGCCTTTCTGAAAGCAACGCGTACAGACCGGCTGTTTCTCATCGCATTTCACTTTGCTACGCCGGCAGTGGGAGCATCCACGGTGGGAGCGGGTGCGCGGTCCACTCATTGTCTGGTGGTCCTCGTGTCCTCGCGGAAGTGGCTGGCGGGCATGATAGTTTGCTTTTCTTTTTGCACTCAAGTCTTACACTCAGCTCTTGTCTTCCGATTCATTAACTCTAACATTCTTCAACGCTCTTATGACCGGGGTGATTGAAAAGCAGCAATTTTCTCCTGTGGAGTCATAGCTTTGATAGAAGGAAGCTCCAAGCGATGACAAGGTTTGGAGTGGATCAGGGAGAGTGGTGACTGCTGTATAAGCCATGCACAAGCCATGCACAAGCCATGCACAAGCAGTGTACAAGCAGTATACAGCTAGGGCACAAGCAGTATATAAGCTGTGCATAAGCTGTGCATCAACTATGCATTAAAACTGCCCAAAGTGGATTAGTTGAGATGCCAGGCGGGATTAAGAGGCAGAATTATCTCTCCGGAGCTTGATCCCAACACAACAACAACAAGAACAACTTTTCTCGATCATCAGCATGAGTGGTTGGCCAGCCCCCTGGTTTGAGGACGCGTTCTTTGCGGATACACTGGCCGAGTGTGCGGCTCCCTGTCAAGGAATTGGCGCCTATGCGATGGCGCACCCTGAGGAGAAGGTCTCTGCAGCCTACGTAGCGGCTTTCGCCGTCTGGGCAACCTCAGCCATGAAGGCTGCTTTTGCTCTGGGTGCTGAGGCGGAGTTCGAGCAGAACCAAGCACAGGAAGCACAGGAAGCCCAAGCCTCAGATCATCCAACGGAACATGCGACAGCCGAACGCACACCTGATGATGAGGCGGATGCGGAGTTTGACGCGAGCGAAGAAGAAGAGGAGGAGGAGGAGGAGGAGGAGGAGGAGGAG